CCTTAGGGCGGATTTCTTGTGAAGGAGCTGGAAATGGTCACTTTTTGATTATTGTGGTTAATTTTGGATTTCGTGCCTTTTGGGCTGATCTTACTCTACTTTGCGTAAAAATGTGTCGATTTTTTTGGGCGGAAATTCCCGGGAAAAAGGCGGAAATACCCGGGAAAATGGCGGAAATACCCGGGCAGATCCATCATGACTCAAAAATGAAAACATGAAGTGGCATGTTTTTTCTTGAAATGGTCATTTTTATTTTGAAATGGGTAAATCTCCAAAAAATGGTCAGAAATCAAACCAAAATCTGCCCTGGAAAGAAATTTGTAACCAATGAATATCCAGGTATATATATATATATATAATTATATATACATGTATATATTCTAGCCGGCAGAAAGCATCAGTTTTCTATCCTTGGGGGGTTTGCTATACAGTGGAACTTGATGAAATGTCTGTGTGGAAGATGTTGCAGGTTTCGCAGTTTGATCCGCAGAACTTGTCCATGGTCGGACCCTTAGAGCTCGGAATTCTTCGCACTTTGAGTGCGGTGATTTGACACAAGGGTTCGATTTGCGAATCGATTAGGTGTTGCCAATGTATATATATATACACATAATATATGATAAATAAATAAATAGATAAATAAATATAAATATATATTATTTATTTAACCCGTGTAATTATATGTTGCACTCACATTTCTGTATTCGACATGCTGTTGACTTATGTCTTCCCGACATTTTCAGTTGGCTACGTCTGTGACCCCATGCATTCCGAGACCGCCTGGGCCCATGCGACTTTGAAGATGCCGCATCCTGAAGTCTTTGATGCGTTGAGGTGGGTCGTGCAGTGGGCACATAAGATCAGCACCACACATATTGTGTATCCAGATCATATCATGAATGTCTCTAGAAATTGTGATTTGTATACGTATATGCTATATATATATATGCATAGGTTCCTAGGACATCAGGCGTCCCACAAGGAGAACAGAGCCCCAGCTTCAGAAAACATGTTCACATGGTTGTGGGTGAGTATGTGCCTTTCAGTACCCAAGTAATGAAGCAGGGGCCAAGTAGGGGTGAGGAATTTATCTCCTACTCAGCATCCGGCAGGCAAGCAGCAATCGCGAAGATTTATTTGTTTGGCCCTTGGCTATGTGTAAGTCCAGCCATTGGTAGTGACTAGCAGTCGCAACATGTCGCTTAGCCAGGGTTGACACCTACGTTATGGGTGTTTTTTGGTTTTTGTTTGCACTGGTGTCATGTTCGCCTTAGTCCGTTGGTGCGAATTTCCAATTCCATGCAAATCAGTTCAAATAGAGAACTCCCCACAGCACGCTAAGCTTCAACCGAACGAGGTTCAAACCACAAGAATTGAACAACCTGGCGTGGGCATATGCCACGTACCGATCCTAGATTTGATGCCCGCTGAAGCTCTCGCGGTTCCCATGGCGTACTGGCAGCACGATGCTTTTGAATGATGGAATTGAAGGACTGGTTGCTGGTTTCACATGGTTTCGCAATATATTGCATGTATTTGCATGTCTATATGCATAGTGCAGTATAAACTTAATGCAAAAATCTTAAACGTAGATTTGATGCATGTGTGTGATAGGGATACACGTATGTTTACACAGCATGCCCACAAGCCATTTGCCGTTTGCAGATCCAACTTGGACAGTTCCAGCCTTCGCCTGGGCTTTGGGTTTTGGGCTTCCAGAGTTGAAAAGTTGAAAGTCACGGCCAGGTTGGGCATTCACAGTGGCCCCTTGTTCACAGCGATTTCGGATGCTGCACAGAATCAGGCGCGCAACTCATGGGGATTCAAGATATTCAAGCCTTAAAGGTGACCGATCCCATCCGATCCCCTAACAAACAATAGATGCTTACGCCTTGATGAGTGGTTGTTAGTGCTTAGGCCTTACTAAGTGCCATTCGTTGGATCACCTGGCGCAGGTGGAAGAGTTCAAGCCACAGGATTTGGCAGTGACTGCCCTCTCCTTTGCTCGTGCGGAGCCCAGCCTTGCTGTTGAAGCATGTCGAAGCATTGAAGCACTGTTCCCCATCTCCAAACAATGTTATGAGGTAGGAGGTCAATTTGTAGTTAACCATGTCCGGACTGCCTATTCGTTGTTGCATCAGTTGTTGCAAGGCAGGGGGTACGTGGTTCTAATACTTCGTACAGCACTCTTATGCTATCGTGTCAAATGTATGGTGGCTAATCAAAATAATCCACAATTCACAGCAACATATTGCAGCTGTAGCTATAGTTCAAAAGCATAGGACCCCAGGATAAAAGCAACCCATAAGAAAGATCAAACACGGGAATGCCTGGTTTTGATTGACATCTATATTGAGCCTTCATTCTTAGCATGGAATTATATGGAGTTGATGATCCCAATTGCCCGGGAAATGTGGGTATCATGTTGCTTTTGACTGGAAACCCTTTTGTTTTTTGGGTGAAAACCCATGGTTTCCCGTGGATGTTCCCGGAGAACGTTCAGCCAAGGTCTTGAGATCCACGATGCACAGCTGATGGCTGCCATCTCCGCAGCTGAGGCATGGCAGAGTTCGGAATATGGGGATGGGTCAAAACCAATTATTGCCACATTGATTACCACATTTATCCTAATTTCAGAGGATAATAAACATCCATCACCCAGCTATTTTAGAGTACCTCGGGGCCAAGGATGCCCCATCGTTTTGATTCAGAGCCAATTATCCATATGATTATATGCATATGCGCGTGTGCATATGCATGTGTGCAAATATATGTGCATACGATTTTGTATGTGTATATATATATGTGTGTGTGTGTCATGTATGTGTGTGTAATATATTCATATACATACATATATATATATATGTATATATATATATAATTATATTGTTTTATCAATTAAATACATATACATACATATATATATATTTAATTGTATATATGTATATTATATTATGTTTATTTTATTATGTTGTATTTTATTGTATATTGTATTGTATGTTTTTCTTTAATATATATTAAACTACATTATTTTATATTTTATAATATTGTATGTTTTATTTCATAACATTAAAAGTTATTAATTATATTATATTATATTACATTATATTTGATTATGTTAAATTTTATTATATCATATGTTTTTATGACATTATACCACATATATATATATATATGTGTGTGTGTCTCTTATATTGCATATACATCCAAACGGTATTCGTATGCACGCTTGGATGCATGTTTGTTCACCACCTTCCACCATGGCAGGTGCGAAAGATGGATCTGTTGCAACCACAGGAGATAGGATGCCCAGCCTGCAACAGCTGGAGGCACGGAATCAACAAAGTATACTGCTAGTCGTTGGTGTGAACATACTGATTAAGTTACCGATATGATGACAAACAAGGAAATCATTAACTATAGCAATTACGCTGAGGATTAGCTTCTGCTGTCAAAGCTGTGGCATCTTTGGGTTGTGCACATCAAGCACCAGAGTTGTTTGGTTTTTATGCCTGCAAGTTACTGATGACATGATATCATTTTGCCGTGATGTGGCACATTGACCTACTTTCATGTGTGCTGGTGTGCGCGCGTATGGAAAGTATCATAGTCATAGCAATGATATGATTTTTGCTATCCAAAGTCATCCACTCTGATCCATCGTGACTACTTAATTAATATACAGGTATTCAAATCATTTGAACCTCTGCTGCCGCACGGTGAGCCATACCTTGTGCGTATGGCTCACCTCCAGCCAAGGCTCGGGAACACGATCTGGGCCTTTACAAAACTGATGATTGTGGACTTACCACTGATGCTGCTTGGCTGGGCCGATGGCCGGTGAGTGTTGTTATTTTGGTTTCAGGTCGTGTAATTATGTCGTGTGTTTCAGGTACTTTCCATGATTTGGTTGTCTACCCGGATATGATTTTGTTGCCAAAATGGTTCCTGATGGTCAAAAATCCAAGGCATTCAAGATGTTATTTTCACAAATTACAACCGTGTTGTGAAACACTTCAGCTCAAGTATCGAGTTTTCCTGTTTTCACAGCATCGCATCTGTAGACTGCCGCGCACCGGATTTGGCCGCCACTGGCGGTGGCCGAGGCATGCAATCTCGAGGGAAGCACAACGTTTGCAACTCAGCCGGCAGCACCCCGGTTGGGTGGGAGGGGTCAATTCTGTTTGGTGCAGTCATAGGTACAGATTTTTTATAGAAAACGCCAAAAGAAGATGAACTTTCTTATCCTATGCTCTTTCCATTTTTTCTACATATATAATCATATATATACATATATGTATATATACATACATATATATATATATATTTTTACATACATATATACATATATATTTATACAAATAGACATATACACATATATAATCATATATACATATATACATATATACATATATACATACATACATACATACATACATACATACAGACATACAGACAGACATACATACATACATACACATGTGTATAAGGAGTAAGGAACCAAAATCTCAGATTACTCAGTTGTTTGAACAGGCTTGGAATGGCCATCCTACTGGATTAGTCAGCAGTTCACAGTTTGAGCATTTGCTGCTAGTTTTACGTGTTTGGACGTGTAGCATTCATGCCCATTCCAACTTGCGCGGCCAGTTGCAAGCAACCTTTCTCAGCTGGTCAATCTTCCGTGCAAATCACACAGCCCAAAACAAACATTGAGAGGATGTATCATACAGTTATACTTAATATTGTTTAATTGTCAAGTTTCCGACCACTTTCTGTGGTACATTGGGGATTTGCTACTTCCACCAGTCGAAATGGCCGTTGCGCCATTGAGGAAAGATTGAACAGTTCAGCCCACAGAATCTCACCAACACGGTGTGGTCCTTTGCCAAGGCTCGGCCAGTCGGGTCCCCGGCCACGGGTCCCCTTTTCGGGTCGGGTCCTGCGATGCCACCAGGTGATGGTCCTCGACACCTCCTTGTTGGAGGCCGTTTGGACTGTTGGGCATCCCAGAGGCAGTTTCCATATCTGGCGGTTTCCCCTTAGTTGGGATCATCCCCAATGTTCAGGTGTGAAACCAGTGAAACCATTGTCACTAGCCAGATATACTTTCTGCTGGAATGTCCACAGCTTGGTCCTTGCACCCAGGCATCGAAAGCCTTGCTGGCGGAATTCAACGCACAGAATTTGCAGCTCCCCCAGTGTGCATTTCCAATTTATTTATTAAATCACTATTCGAAAAACATGCGTTGCATATCACATCATACCATTGTATAAATGATTACATCTATGATAATCTTGTGCAACAATAAGGCGGGGTCAGAAACTTTTCTCCTGAATTTGTTCGAACCTGTTCCGTTTTCGTTTCCCGTGACCAAGAGTCATGTGCCGATGGCAAAGTTTGGTCAGGTCAAACACTGCTTGGTCACTTGCCACGTTTGGGATTTCTAAGATGCCATGTATGGACCTCAGCGCCGAAGAGCTTTGTTGGAAGGGTGAGGACGTGTCCTTGAGAAGAGCTGATTGTAGATTTTGCTGCTACGCCATTCCAATAATTTCTTATCGTTTTTTAATCTCTGTTTATTGGATTGCAACGATTAAAGCTTTAAAGCTCATCGAAGTCATCTCGTCAGTCGTTCTGTGTCACTGGTCAATATTTGCTGAGGCTAACCCTGCCTGAAGCCAGCAAGCGGAATATTGGCAAACTCAAAACCCAAGAAAACAAATGATTACTTCATATTACTTCTACAAACTGCCGTTGTGGCTAGGTTTCCCCTTTTGAGAAGATTAAGAGATACAGTAGAGATCATCAGTCATAACCATGTCGGGGGGATGGGATCATCTCAGTGTCTCCAGGTACCTGTTTGATCCTTTTTGATTTATACAATCGATGCGCTCCATTTCCAAGTTACATTAGCATACATTAGCCATGTTATAGCCATGTTATAGCCATGTCATAGTCATTTTATAGCAACTTTAGATCATTTTAGGATTTTAGGGCCATTTTGTCTAGGTTTAGCATAGGTTTTCCTGCATTTTATCAAGCTACTGTAGCCTATTGTAGCCTTCAACCTCCGGACCCTGTCGATACCAAGGCCTGGAGGCCATTGCGGAGGTCTTCCTCAAGCAGATGGACAAGCACCCGGAGACGCAAGCCGTGGCCAACGTGGCCTGGTCGTCGGATCCCCAGGATGGCTTTGGTGGCTGTTTGGCAGGGTCTATGTTAAGTTGGGGGATGGTAATAACGGCAACCGGCATATATTGGTGTATATATATATATCCATTAATAATGGTTAATACTAGACAACTAGTGCTTTGCAATTCTTCATGCATTTTTTGATGGGGTTAACCATCAAAAACGGAGGTTTAACCTGCGTATACCTGCGTGAGCATCCTGAAATAGGGATATGTATATATATATATATAAAGTAAAACTGTGCTGAATTGAGAATGTCAATCCCGGATTTTGTTAAACCCCTGAGCTGCTTGATCATCTGAGGGGCAGGGGTATTACTATTTGGGGGACCACTCCATTTTTTATCAGCCATGGTTTTTGATCCGGGGTTGACATTCATTAATAGTGAAGCTAAAGAAAGGATCAGTTCGATCTTGTAGCGTCTGGATCAGATGGAAAAATTGTGTGTTGATGACGTAGTTCTAAGGATTTGTTTTAAGGTATCTTCATTATTCACGTGGCTGTTGAGTAATTCTGCAACGTGCGTTGCTTTTCAGCCGATTGCAAGCGGAACCAGATCGCTGGATGCTTCAAACCTCTTCTGAGGTTTGCCACCTTGGGTTATCTTCATTTGCCGTTGCATGATCCTCAGTATTCCACTCAGTATTCCCTCTCCAATTCCCCCCCAAAAAATGGACAGCCCAGCAACCAAGCTGCCCAGCTGCCGCGCCTGCTAGCAGCTGCTGGGGGTTTCCATCGAAACAGCCACCAGGTTGGACGCCATTGGTGATCACGTGCTCCTCTCGATCCACGAATATTCAGGCTCCACTGCCTGGGCTTTGGCGGAATCACATATGGAGATATTGGAAAACAATGATGAAGAAACTGATTTATGGTATTTGTAGTTGATAAATCGCATGTTTTTTTGGTGATGCCAGGTTTGAGCGGGCGTGTCATTTGAGTTTCCACCATTCCGGATAAGTTATAACAATTTACAACGACCTGACTGCGACGATATTAGAATTGCTGACCTTGTTTCAAAGGAACCATTGCCAATAGCTTATTTCGGGCTGGTGAGCAAATTTAACCAGATTGTTTTCGAAAATAGAGTACCCCCCCAAGTTTGCTGGTGGATCATCACTTCCTATTATATAGAATAATTGCCATTTTTTTACCTGACCGATGGTTATTTATTGCCCATGCCGGTGCGCCAAATGCGCAGTCACCAGGTCAGGGTCTCGCAAACTTGGTACAGCTGGCAGATTTGGTGATTTTGGTGGCCCTGGATTGGTGAACATGGTGGTTTTGGTAGCAAATACTGGGGTATAAACGGTATCATTTAATAGTGAACACTAGTTAACATGCTATGGTATGTAACAATCACAACGAATGTCCCACCATTAAAAAATAACATAAATAACGGATAGTGATAGGAATGAGATAGTATTGGAATATTCCTGAATATCCCACCATGTTTATGAAATATAACCTTAACGAGATACAATTCATGCGATTTGATAATGTAGTGGAACATGGGAGATTGGATACATGTTTGCACAAATGTCCCATGTGAGACGACGGCTTTGCCCACAAATAGTTGCAGAATTCTTTACACCAAGTTTGCAATGTTACCATGCAATTTTTAGGGACCATATTTTCAAACCCAAACCACCCATATGGTGATAGGAATGATGAAAATAAAACCAAGAAAATTCAAGATGTGCCTTTTGGCTTTAGGCAATGGGAAATGAAAGGTGCCAACCTTCACAAAACATTTTTTGGGTGGTGAAACCTGATTGATTTAAGGCTTATGTGGTCTTCAGAAGGAAATCATGGTTGGCTTCAGCCATGAATACAACAGGGAGTTTATCATTTAGTCCAGTGGTTGGTGAAGTGCAAAATGTTTCAAACGGTGTGTATCCAAAAGTGTGTTTGTGCTTGCCCTACTCTGTGTTGTATAGTTTTACAATGTTGCATTTGCGCAATTTACTGTCGCAAGTTTATCATGTGATTCAAAAGAGTTTGATGCGAAATGTCGGTTCGTCCGAAGAAATGGTTATAAGATGTTAAGTACATAGCTACCCTCAAGTTTGATGGTTGATCATTATTGATCACGATCAATATGGCCATTTCCGGGGGTATCCTCATTTTCAAACACGCCTATGTGGGAGTTGGGTCCAGCATTGTCCTGCCATGCCAGGTTTGGGCTTTTTCAACTTTGGGGTACCGGCAGCAGCCGTTGGTGTTGGCGCTGGCTCAGCAGGTGTGGGGGAATGGCGTGATGATGATGATGATGATGATGATGATGATGATGATGATGATGATGATGAATTGCTGTCCCAAGATGCAATGAGCTTCCCCTACTCCAAGCTTTCCTTGCCACTTGCAGCACAGTGGGCTCCGGGGTGTTTCCATGCCATTCTGCTTGGCAGGCATGCAGGTGCTGCAGGGAATTCCAAGTCGGTCACCCCAGATGCGCCGTCACTGGAATGGTGGGTAGTAGGGGGTAGCTCTCCCAAGATGGCCTTTCTTTCAGGTTAGTGAACCATGGTCTTAAATGATCCAGATAGATTTTGATCATATCCATCTATCCAATCTATCCATCCATCCATCCATCCATTCATCCATCCGGTGACGACTCAAGGTGCAAAACTTGGCGAATAGCGCATGGGCTTTGGTGGGGAACCTGGCTATACTCGAATGGTGCTAGTTTGAAGGGAGAAGGTTTTCGACTTCGATGGATCTTCATGGAACTTCATGGATGGCACCGCTCAATCCACAAGGCAAACATGGATTACTTGCACCAACGATGCATGGACTGGCCGGAGTGCGGGGAGTTGTGGGACGACTTCCTGGGGCAATATTGGGATTATCCCATGATTTTCAGGCACAAAAGCCAAACATATAGGATATATATCCTATACTTGCATATCCCAATTGATATGCTGATATGCCATTCATGCATAAAATGGTTGGTTTTTGATTCCGTGGGTGAAATCCCTCGCCTCAGGATGCTCTGGCAGGGTGTTCTTTGGAGAAGGTGTCAGAGATGAATCCTCAGGTGCAACGACGGGCCATGATCGGAGTCGCAATGATCACCGCAGGGGGTTGTACTTTTCCATCTGTTTGTGGCTTTGCTGCATCCATATTGTTCAAATAATGGGGAGCAGTGATCGGAACTACGAATTGATGCTTGCAACCAAATGATGGTTCTTGTAGAAATGAAATTAAGACCCAACTAGAATAAAACGGTAAAAGGCCTGAGGTTTCTAGCCTCGGGGATGGCTCACTCTAGCAAATGGAGATTTCCAAGCATTTTCCGGCCATGTTTACTCGTTGGAGGCTACTATTTTGTTGGCGACCAATGGGATTTTTATATGGGGACTCCAATGGGGACTCCCAAGTGACCAATGAGGTAAACAGATTGGGACTCATTGTGATTCCATGACTGGGATCCATATCCAATCATATCCATACCCATCTCATTGAATTCATGGATGGAGATGCAATCGCAGAATTGAGCGATGGGAACATGCAATTCGGAAAACCCATGTATTCAATTGAATTCAAGCGTCGAAATCCATGGTTACCTGTAGATGTTCCCTTCAATCGATCCATTGACAATATGATTAACTATATTTAACCATCTCACTTGTATAAATGTCCATCTCATTATCCCTTCTCATTGCATCCCATTACATCCTGTTACGAAACAATAGGTATTATCCCACTACATCCCGATGAGATTTCCTCCCCTGGGAGCCGAGGCGTTGGCCAACATTGCTTGGGCTTGGGCGGCATGGCGGCACCGGCCACGCCACGAACATGGGTTTTATTTAAGGTCAATCACTAGCCATAGTGGGACAAGAATGGGTCAGCAATTTTTGGCGTTTAAAACTATATTTGGATGGGTCAGCATGTCAAAACTGATCATTTAATTTGGACAGATTCCATAAATTTGGGCGGATGAACATCCATGAATCCGAGTTATGTTGGTGTTCAGCAGGGTTGACCCAGCCCCAAAATGGCAACATTTTATTTATAGACTGGGGATCATGATGCTCAATTATCGCATTAGGAATCGGGAAGTTTGGGAATTGGGATTTTTTTAAGACGCACCAAGAGGATAGGAAACCATGATACGAATCAGCAAGATAGGAGGGCACTTGGCTGCCATGATCTACTGACTGATGGCATGACGTGCGACTCATGGGATATGTTGGGAGAAGCTCCATTTGTTGTGGGTCATGCGGTCATGCCATGTCGAGTGGGCTGGGGGTCATAGGCAGGAAAATAGGTACGGAAGAAGAAAGCTGTTGCCCTTGCCACATGCCCTCCGGTAATTTCACATAGCTATGGAAAATTTACCCACTCATATATATATATATATATATTACAATTGTACATATACATAATATACACATGTATATATATATGTATGGTCATATATTATATATATATTCTTATATAACAGGTACATCATCGAACTAAATGGGCCACTTGCCTATTTGGTAAATTACTGGGGGGATCTGGAGGGTAGTTCTCATCAATGTCCTCCATTTATCCCACGAGGTGAGGCCACCCAGTTGTAAGTTGGTTCATAAACCTCACTATAGCGATATTCACCATGAACCCAAACGTTAACCAACTTAATCCATCTTAATCCAACTTATAAGCCACTTACTGTAATTATCTATAGTTCAAACCATTATATAATATATATATATATATTAACTATAGTTAGGTTGTAATCAAGGATTATTGTAAGTCTAAACGCACGAACTATAGTTAGTCAACTTATTAATTAGTCAACTTGGGCTATACACGGGGCCTCCCTATGGCACTTCCCAAAGCTCGAGGCACGCTTGGTTCTGATGTCAACGCCCCTACTGGAAGCCCTTGCAAGCGAGTCGGTCCTTGGCTCAGTGGTGAGGTTCAATGCATAGATTAGACTAGACTAGATTAGATTAATCTAGGTTATAGGTTCGATGTGGATTTAGATTTAGACTTAGGTTAGATTTGGATTATATATATATATATAGATTCAGGTTAGAATTAAATAAATATTCGGGCATAATGATCATGATGATAGCTTGATTGGTAAATCTGATCTCTATGCTGTTTACGCTGTTTGGCCATGATCTAACCATATCGGCCCAGGGGAAGAAAATGGCAGAATTCCAGAGCCAGCGCCTTGAAGTTGGATCATTTGGAGCGGAAAAACATAGAATGAGAACAAACAAATACATCATGATGACAGCTGGCACATGTAGACACACAGGTGGCATACTGATGTATATATATATATAATTATATATATGTGTGTGTGATATGTGTATATATATATATTTAGATGTGTGTGTATGTGTGTATGTGTGTGATTATGTGCGCGTGTGTATTTCTAGATAAAGAAGCTGTAGGGCTTTGTGAACTGGACGTGGCCGTTTCTGAGCGAAAAGTGTGTGCTGGCTATCCTATGCGGTCAAAGATTTGGTCAGAGTCATAGCCTGGCTATGGGTCAAAAACAGCAGGTATAAATGGAAAATGGATGGAAAATAGTAGGTTCTGATCCATCTCAATATTTTAGGTTCCCAATGTTGTACCAGCATGGGCCAGTGCCCTGCAGTGCCATAGGTCAAAACATCTCCAATTTGGCCTGGTCTGCAGCCACTTTGGAGCTTCGATCGCCGCTTGATCTTGAAGCGTCAGGCGGGTTTCAGGCGAAAGGTCCATAGGTTCTGACATATTCCCATCCTTCTCATACTAAATGCCCTTTAACGCTTTAACGAACTCCTGGTTTAGTCATGTGGTAAATCCCTGTGAATCCAAGAAGAAACAATCCCATACAATCCCCCGAAAGCACCATGGGTGGTATAAACTAACCATCCCCAGTCATGGTAGGTTCATGGCAGGGTTTCCCATCTGAGGCCTCCTTTGATCCAGGCCATAGTGGCAGAGACTCGGCGCAAGGCCGGTGTCATCCGGTGTCAGCCAGCCATATTCCAATTGCCATCAAAAATGGAGGTTTGAAGGTGAAAACCATAGGAAAATATGGGAAGATCCTGGAAGCACACGATTTTTTGGAATCGGTGGTTTTTCCAGCATTTTATTTCAAGTGACTACGACATGCCTTACACCATACATCAATGATCTTCAATATAGGTCTAGCAATGTGAGATGGTGAAAACCTGATTTCATATTGGACATGATTTCAAATCATTCCACATCCTGATTGAACAACTATGTTTGCCCAACCTTCCCCCACATCGTCCGCGGCCGCAGGTGACGTTGCTACACTGCCAGGATTTGGCCAACAGCGCGTGGTCCTTTGCACGTTTGGCAGTGAATGATGAAGCACTTTTAGGCCAGCCGGGGGGAAAATGCCCGAAGTAAATGGGGATTTTAAATGATGTATTAAATGTATTTAAATGTAAAATGTGACAATCATTGAACGAATGGGTGCATGTTCCCGCCCATCTGTTTGATTAGCCTCGAGGGTCGGCTGGCTGACGAGGGGGAGGCTTGGCATGGCTTGGCTTCCAGTGATCGAACTAGTAACTAGTTGGAACCATGGGTCATTGCTTAACTGGTTGGTGGTTTCAAATATAGCTTTTATTTTCCATGATATATGGGATGTCATCCTTCCCATTGACGAACTCATATTTTTCAGAGGGGTGGCTCAACACCACCAACCAGATAAATATGTTCAACTTTTTCGTTGAACTTGGAAGGTCTGTGTCAGAATCATGGCATTAAAATGGCCCATGAAATTTTACTACGATACCATATATACTATACATACGCTGGAAGGCAACACCAAAATGCAATACCAATACAATACCAAAATACAACTCCCAAATACAACGCAATACAATATACAATCTACAAAATATATGATACCAACATCTTTGCAATGGATTCAGGAAAATTCGGCTGACCAATTGCATCCGATTGCCATTGAGTCTTCGCAGGTGCCATGGGTGCCAGGGTGATTGCAACAATCGAAGGCACTGTGTTCGGAGGAGAGAGTTTGGGCGCCAAGGGGATCTCAGTAACCGCTGATACTAATACGGCTGGTGATGCAAGTGAAATGGCAATAGAAAGCTATGACATATCTATAGTAGAAATTGTGATGGTGATGATGATGATGATGATGGTGGTGGCGGTGGTGGAGGAGGAGGAGGATGGTGATCATTATTTGAACCTATTATCATTGACCTTCCCTGAATCGTTTAGTCTGGGAGTCTGGGAGGCTTAGACGAGCTGGGGCGCGATCCTCAGAGCTGCAGTTGATTTAGTAATGGAGGTTCCCATCATGATGCAGATCCCTCCAAGGCTCACATGTTGGTTTTTCCATGGTTTTCTTTAAGGTGTATTTATAAAAATATATATATATATATAAATTATATAAATAATTATACACATATATATATATACCCTTGGGATATACATGCTGCATATTCTATACTGTATCATATCTGTGTGCATCCACATGGGCGTGGGCCGAAGTGGGTGGTGAGATAGGATGAGTGGGCTGGATGGTGAAAGCAGTTATATAGTTTCATACACAGGTCGCCCCCCATTGGTGCCGGCTGTCTATGAGATCATGTTGTGAAAAGACATGTTCCTGGCAGAACCGGGAAGTACTTCCAAGTTGTGACAGTTAGTGCCAGTTTTACTGTTTTTAGATATGTGTTATTTCTTGTTTTGGTTACCCAGGACCTAGGATTGGATAGGTTCAAGGTTGGACCATGTTGAAAAACCCCGCAGTCGGGAGCTCAAACTGCGAAGTTCGAACGGCGCCGGTCAGCTGTTGGGCCCATGGCTGTTCGGTGCCCCCTGCATTGGTTGATTAGTTCAGGGGTAGCCCCCCAAATGGTGATGGCATTTGCTGCTAAAATGCTGGGTGCAACCCCCCGCAAGTTTAGCCCAGCAGGTTTATACAAAATCCGGGGGTGGATGTTCATGTTTTTTGTTCGATGTTTTTCTGCGTCGTTCATTGACTTTATCGTTTTATGGTCCAGGATGTGTATCATTGACAACTTTTCAGCTGTTGGAAAGTGGAACAGCCACTGCAGGTCAGGAGTGGGTCCATTTTGTGGGGAAGGGATGACAGAGGATCCAAGCACTGCAGATGCAAAATGTCCTGATGATTTTGGCTCCAGCTTTGCGTGCGGAACTCATTATTGATGCATTTTGAATACTATAGTTATTACTAGTTAGTTGAAACGCTTTGAGCACGTTTGATTAATTTTGCTGCACATATCACACAGGTTGACTCTTTTTTTTGGCAGATGTCGGCCAGCATTTCTGCCAGCTGCTTAACAGACGCTGACGCGATTGATCTTCACATTCTACGTTTGACGGGTGAAGCTTTCACCATCAGTGTCCCCCGCACGAGCCTGGGCGGAGAAGTGCGGAAGCTGGTCGCGCAGCGCGTGGCTTCCAAAGGTCGAAACCTCTCTTTGCAGCATGGCTCGAAGCCACTGGTGTTGCATCAAAGCTTGGAAGATCAGGGCGTGGGCCCATCAGCAGCTTTATCCTGTGTTTTTGTGCCCACGGATCTGGATGCTGCCTTCCGTTTCATGCAGGGACTCATTGATGACGAGTTTGCGCTGGAAGGTCTGTCAAAAATGGAGGGTGCCACGGCTGGAGAGTTTCTGTACCACCTTCCGGCGTCGCTGGAAATGTTGACCTTTGGCCGGAAGTTCAACCAGAGCCTGGAGGGTGTTGCGTTTCCAGGCAGTCTTCAAGGGTTGGCGTTTGGTGACAGCTTTAACCGTACAATGCTAGGCGTGACCTTGCCGAGTGGCTTGCGGTCTTTAACTTTTGGCTCAGACTTCAACCAGAGCCTGTGGGGTGTGACATTGCCAGCTTGTCTGCAAGATCTGACGTTGGGTGAGAGATTCAATCATAGCATCCAGGGGGTGCGCTTGCCAAGCAGTCTTACAATGCTAACGTTTGGTTCCGACTTCAATCAAAGCTTGGAAGGTGTCAGATTTCCGTGTACGCTTCGGCACCTTACTTTTGGCATAAGGTTTAACCAAAGCATGGACCGCGTGGCTTTGCCGAACAGTCTGCAAAATTTGTCGTTTGGGTCAGATTTTAACTGCGGCCTGGAGGGCGTCACATTGCCACCCAGTCTGCAAAGTTTGACTTGTGAAAGAATGTCGGGCCAGAACAAGCAGAGTACGACCTGGCTGAGTGGCCTTCAAAGGTTTCTTTTTGGTGACGCATTCAGCCAAAGCTTGGGAACTGGGAAGTTGCCAAACAATCTGCAAAGCCTGAGCTTTGGCAAGTGGTTTGACAATGACTTGCAAGGATTGTCCTTGCCAAACAGTCTTACAAACCTGACTTTGGGCTCGGATTTCAACCAGAGCCTGGATGGTGTCACATTGCCAGGCAGTCTCCGAACTTTGACTTTTGGTGACAGTTTCAATCAGACCCTCAGGGGTGTCACACTCCCAAGTAGTATTCAGAACCTGGTTTTTGGAAAGAAGTTCAACCGGAGCTTAGAAGGTGTTAGACTGCCAGGCAGTCTTCAAAACTTAACAATGGGTCAGAGCTTCAACCATGACCTTGAAAGCGTGGCGTTTCCAATCAGTCTTCTGAGTTTGTCTTTTGGTTTGGACTTCAATCAGAGTCTCGAGCGCGTGCTGTTGCCAATGAGTCTTCAAAGTTTGTCCTTTGGTAAAAGGTTCAGGCATAGCTTGAAAGGAATTACTCTGCCCGACAGCCTTCGAAGCTTGAGTCTAGGTTGGGACCTTAACCAGAGCCTGGAAGACTTCATATGGCCAAGCGGTCTCCAAAGTTTGACTTTGAGCGAGAGGTTCAATCATGGCATGGCGGGCGTGATGTTGCCAAGCAGTCTTCGTAGTCTGACCTTTGGCAGGGGCTTCAGCCAGAGCTTGGAGGGTGTGACCCTTCCAAGCGGTCTTCAACACCTGATTTTTGGTGAGAGGTTCAACAGTAGCATTGAGGGTGTGACTTGGCCCAAGCTAAAAAGCTTGACCTTTGGCAAGTGGTTCAACCATAGCTTGAAGGGAGTGACTTTGCCAAGCAGCCTCGAAAGTTTGACGTTTGGGCATGACTTCAACCAGAGCCTGGACGGTTTCACATTTCCAAGCGGCCTTCAAGAGTTGAGCTTTGGTCATGAGTTCAGTCAGGACCTGCAGAGCGTGACATTGCCGAGCAGTCTTGAAAAGTTGACTTTTGGTGAGAAATTCAATCGCAGCATGGAAGGCGTGATTTTACCAGGTCGTCTTCAAAGTTTGGAATTTGGTTGGCACTTTAAGCAAAGCCTCACTGGCGTGCCATTGCCACATACGCTTGAAAGCTTGACTTTTCAGCAGCTTGTAAAATATGATGAAGCACATGATTGGCTCATTGAAGAGTACGAGCCAATGCGCTTGGAGCTTTCCTGAGCCCAGTTGAGGAGAAATCATCACCATTGCGCCTGTGTGCAGGTCTGTGTGTTGCTGGGGAGGTGCATACATTGTCTTCTACTGCAGTTTGAAGTAAGAACTTGCAACGTTTACTGAATGGTCCACAAAATATGGATCCTATCGCACACGGATGTTTGATTTCAATATATTTCAATCAGAATCTATCTCGACACAACATCTGAGTGTAAAATTATATCCCTGGAGCAACAATGTTGTAAGTCATTTCAGTTTTTTGACTGATTATTTAACGGAATGAGTTATGTAGCGCAATCCGGTGACCAAGCTAAAGTTGATAGATGCCGTTCCCGACATTTGGTACCCGACTAATCTTCGCCAATTATCCGTTGTGTGTGCCCCGAGAAGTGGAGCTGATTCCTTGGAATCCCTTCCTGCTTGCAACGTAGCATTTGTATGCATTTGTAGCATCTGTAGCTTTGGCAAGAACAGAAGGATAAGATAAGAAATGATAGGAAGATAAGAGGTGCCTTAGCTTTTCATTCAGACCATACATAAAGTGAATCACTGGAAGGTGTTCTTGACAACTGTGTGTGGCTTTTCTGGTCCCAGATGTCCCAGGTATATGATCGCTGCAGCGTGCCTGAGTTCCGGCCATCCTAGCCCCAAGGGCCGAGGATGGCCGAGGCCTACATTTAGGTGAAGCCTTGAGGCTGAAACTTGGGGAAAAAGATGTGTAGACCTTTGTCGCTCTGTCAGCCGCCGCGCGAATGCCATGAACAAGTGACATTTGTATGTTGATTATGTTGGATCTTAGATGAATATGATGAATGATCACGTGCTTCTACCAAACTCGATACAGTAAACTGATGTAAACTGTCCATCATTCGCATCATTGAAAGGATCTGAAAGGGGCCAGTGTCATCTTCGACGGATCAGCAGGACCGCAGTGGGTGATTTGGCAGTCAAAAAGCTCAAACTGGGGCGGCACCTGGCGCAACCATGGCGACCAAAACCGCTTGCTTTAGTGACCATGGCTTTCCCAGGCACTTGGAGCGTTTGGAGTTAGACTCTGCTGTGGAAGGTTCACACCTATCAGCGTTTGGCCTGCACATAGAAATGAACTCCAAGAATGTCCGCTTTTCCAATGATTTCAACAGAAAACCGGTGTCTTCAATAAAGTCAACAATAGTCAACCTCTCTTTATACATTAAACTCATACTCATACATTAAAAAACATTAAAAAACAAGCTATGTCACAGAAATCCACATCGAAAATCTGCCAGGCCCAGTCCGGCGCAACCCTTGGACGAGGCTGACCTGGACAGTGAGATGGGCCTGTCCTTTGCGCGGCAGATCTCCCCCAACTGCCGCCTGGTCGACTGCAAGGCGCATCGAGGATGGAAAGGTCTGGAAAGGGGGGCACCCCCACAATGGCACTACGAAAATCTAAGTTCTTTCTTGGGGTAGGATGGTTAGGGGCTTAGATGGGCTCAGTATGGCTTAGTGTGGTTTGATAGATAGCACCTAAGAGCCCGGAAGAGGATATAGTCGCAAAGTTCAAGGAGCCCCTAACGGGCATTCACCATGGTGGAAAAGTGAATAACACCCTTGTCAGTTAGGCTATATTGGGATGGCACCCTTTGATTTGCATGACAATTGGGGTTGGGAGGTTTGTCGGCAGCTTGTTCATGAAATTGCAGAGGATGAGAAGATGTGGAAGATTGCTTATATACTAAACATCTAAACTGCAGTTTGTTGTGATTGTTTGTGTGTAGGTTCCGGCTGTGTGACCAGCTTGCCTTCTCTTCGTTGGTTTGTATGTATTGTGCTGCTTCTGAATGCAAGGACCCCACAGAAGTGCACATATAGTGATAGTGGCATAAGCAAATGTACATTTTTGCACATTTTGTTATATGCAATTCTACGTGCACTTTCCAAACATAGAAAAGACACAAGTACAGTCAGTACACGCAACTGATGAAATTTGACCTTTTGTGTGGCGACAGCATGGCACTGCAGGTGCCAAGCCCCACCTGTGCGGATGCACCTGATGATACCAGATTGGAGTTCAAGGACTTCAAAAAACAAGCGCAGTCCTTGGCCTCTGTTGCTTGGAGAAACACCAGGGCCACTGAAGTGGGGGGCTCTCTTAAACAGCTTCAGTATCCTTTGGCCAAGGATTTCAGCTGATCCAAGCACAGCAGTTACAGAATATAGCTACGTCAATGTGGAGGTTTCCTAAAATAGGGGTACCCCTAAACCATCCATTAATAGGATTTTCCATCATAAACCATCCATTTTGGGGTACCCCCATTGATGGAAACCCCTGTGCAGGTCACCAGAATTTGTGTTTTCCCAAGCGCACCAAAGCCAAGCCATGAAACTCATCCTGCAGGGTGTGGCCCCCTAGATTGCTAAGTTGATTGTTTTTTAGCTATACCATACCCATAGGATCCATGTATGCTATATATGGTAACATTTACCATCAATATACCCCCAATGTTTGCATATATACCATACATGGATCCTATGGGATATAATTAATGGGGCTGATCAAGCAACAAAAACAACTGGGAAGGCCCACCGCTGAGCCGAGGAATTCTTTTGCTCCCAAGATGTGGAGGGGATGGTGGCGTCCGCCCCTCGCCGATGCCTTTAGCATCCCCCGACCTGGCTGATTCCATCGCTATATTAATGATATTCACACACATATATATATATATATGAACTATTACCCTCTGGTTATTTAACATAGCCATGGAAAATGGCCCATTTATAGATGGTTTACCTATTAAACATGGTGATTTTCCATGGCTATGTCTGTTAAATAACCAGATGGTAACGATCATATACCAAGGAATGCACATCCACGACGTTGCCATTTGCCCATCCCCAAGGTCAGAGGCTTGGGATGTTTGCCTTTCCATGACGAGTTGGCGGCTTCGCTCTTGAGGGCTTCCTTGGATCAGAAAGACGTCACGCGTCAAGCGGTCATTCCGTGTCCCGGCGGATGGTAGGTCTGTTGCTGGTACAGGTTGTGGTGAAGATTGGCTCAGAAAGTCCCTGGGTGGATTCCTTCATTGGAATTTGAAGGATCTGATAGGGATTGGTTGATCTGTTGCGGAGGTGTCTCAAGTATTCCGAAACTGGTTTTAGATACTTGACCACTTCATGATGCTTTGTGCCCTCTTGGCCTCAGACTCCCAGCAAGAGGCAGTTTCCGTGGGCACTCTGCAGCTAGATGTATCAAGCAGTCATGATTCAAACGATCGACCAATGGAAACATATGGAAACCCTTTTGGAAATGTAGATGAATGATGGTGAGCGGATAGCAACCGATAGATATGATGGACGAATATTCATAGATCCATGGCCCATGGTCTCCTGCCAATCCCAGGTTGCTGATTGCACTTCATGAGGAGGAGCTCATGTCCACCGCACAGTTGGCCAGAGGCTTCGAGAAGTCCCTTTGCACAATTCATGAGCTCAGCCGGCCACCTGGGGGACCGATGGTTGAATGATTTTTGTTTTACATGTGTTCAGATTTATGTTCAGCAGATACAGTATCTCAGAAAATGATGAATTGGGATCCGAACATCTCCCAACCAAGCTCAGAAAATGATGAATTGGGATCCGAACATCTCCCAACCAAGCTGAGAAAAGGTCAAGTGTACAGTGTACAGAGTAAGGATGTAAGATGCTGTCATTGGTACCTTGAGTGTTCAGTGGGCCTTGGGTGGAAGTGGGCATCCTGTACATAGATTTCGACAAGTGGTAGGCCAAGGATCACAAGCCTCAATCTCATTTTTCAGCCATCCTTGATCCAACTGTGATATTTGATATGGGGGTCTCCTGAAATAGGGGTACCCCCAAATCATCCATTTTAATGGTATTTTCCATTATAAACCATCCACTTGGGGGTACCACCATTTATGCAAAGCCCTATATGTTCAATTATGTTCATATATGTTCTTATGCCATTCCCCTGCGGTGCTGCCGGTGCTGCGTGCTGCAGGCTGGTTCTGTCCTGGGAAGACTTGCAGTTGGATGTGCCCGGAGCCCCTGGGCTCCTGGTCTCCTTGCTCTCATCACGCGTGGGTCTCTTCGCTGCTCGGTGGGGATTCACCAACGCTCTTTGTGGCACCTTTCTTTGGCTTTCTAACTGTATGTGCTATTCAAATTGCGCATATATTTATCGAATCATATATATATGCATTATTTATATCAATCAATATATATATATACATTCCAAATATATATATATATATATTTTTAAAATATATATGCATACACAGTGTTGACTGCTGGACTCCTCAGTGATGCCGAGGACAAGAGCCTCTTCGCGCGTCTCCCCGAAGACCTGCTGTCCCGAGTCTCCTGCGATCTGCCAACGAACCTGGCCCAGCGGACCATCCAGACACACCTGGAAGAACTCAGAGCAACGTGGCACGCACGGCTGGTGGCACCCAAGAATCTTCAGGGCTGGGTCAGGGTCCGGGATTTTTTTGGGGGGAAAAGGTCCTTGAGGTTAAACCACTTCGATACTTGATCTTCAACCAGTGCATTGAACATATTTAAACATGCTTGAGTTTATCTTGATTTTTACCAACTCATTCACTCTCCCGCCATGAATGCCCATGGTTTCAGGCCTTCAAAACGGAGCTGCACTGCAAGATCCAGGAGCATTGGAATAGCTCCCTGCTGTATAATGAGCATTTTGAAACAGTTTGAATCAGTTTGAAAAAAACAGTTTGAATCAGTTTGAACAAGATCCAGGAGCATTTGCTGCGTATGGGGACGGCTGATGGTTTGGCTGCTTGGTTGCGGGAGGAATGCAAACCCGCCTTTCATCACGAGGCCGTCTGCAGGGCAGGAGGGTCCAAACAAAATTCACAGATCTCAACTGATGACCCTCTGGTAAAATAACATGACCATGGGACATCACAATATTTCATTGGTAAATCAAATGTCAATGGCCATTTTTTCCCCCGGATGTCTCGTAGTGTTTTGTACAATGGCATCGTTTGCACGGGAGTCCCTGCAGTAACAAGTCCCTGGGGGTCAAGGGATGTCAAGGGCTTCATGCCCCAGCCTTGGAACCCTTTTTTTATTGAAACTGCTACTGGAAGCTCACCCCATATCCGAGATCTTCATCCAAAGTCCGAAGGTTTGCTCCAGAAAGTTGGCCTTTGCCCACCCTTCCAGGTAGTTGTTGCAGCATGCCTGTGTTCCTTTGATGGCAAGCCATCCCCAGATGCCTACTGGACCTCTTGCTTTGACTCTGGTGATTTGCGAGCAGAGACACTCGGCCATCTGCAAGCAGTGTAGCTGAGAGAAGTGGCTGCCATGGATTCAAATTGAATGCTGAGTCATGACAATACTTGAAATGTATGCGTACATCTTGCAGCAGCAGTGACCCCAACATAGCAGAGGATCACAATATATCACAATACAATACAGTGGTTCCCGGTATTTTCTAGGTGCTAGTTCTGCACATGCATGAAGTTGATATGTTTGTGCCATATCAACCCTAGTCATGAAAATGCCTAACTTCACAAGGATTCAACCTGAACAAACCCAATCAAGTTTCGGGGATGTTCGCCGGATGTTAGCTACCAACAGCAATCTTGTGGGGTAGCTGTGTGGGGGTTGTCTCTTCTTTGACCAAAGGGTATATGATCTGGTTGGCTTAAACATGCTTAAAACCCCAGGGGCTTTGGTTAAATCACAAACCGATGGCCGTTGATAGATGAGTTTTCGATTAAAAACTATAGACATCTATAGACTGTAATCTACATGTTTGCTGGTTAATCCAAAAGACCTGGTGGAATCCCATTGTATAATTATATTATATATAGTTGTCCCCACAAACCTCAATTTTGGTCTGTTACAGAAATTCCAGCCTTTACCGCAATTTATGATAGCCATTCCATTTTTTCAACGCCGCAAGCATCCCCATGATGCCTTGGCAGGTCATCCCCATGTCACTGTGTTGCTCCCCATTGTCCGCATTAACATCATGATCATCCCCATTGCGACAATTTTGTGGGTGAACTAATGTATTAATACTATTCTAATTCAGTCTATACCAAATTATATCCCCGCTACTATTAAATCATATTAAATCATCTAATTAAATCGCCGTTTTGAATGCGTTGCAACCAGCAGCTAATGGTCAACCCCTTAAAATGTCTCTCACGGCTGGCCCAGGAAATGTCGCATGGTGCTAGACGCCTTGGTCCAACTGGCCAACAGTGAGCATCTTCTCAGCGAGACGGCGGCTCGGACCAGCCATGGCAGAGATTTTTTTGGGGGTTTCAGAAGGGAAGAGATATGGACTTTCAACATCTTTCAGCTCAAAAAATGGTGAAGATACAGTTGAATGTTGAAGTCCATATGGCAACGAAACTTGGAAGTTCACCAGCAACGAAAATGTGGTTGAAGCGACAGGATTCCATGGGATTGATGTCCGGTCCGAGGGTCGATTTATGGTGGGCTCTGCCAGGTTTGCCAGGTCACGGGTGGGATGTAAGTTGTAGGCTGCGCCAATACTGAGTAATGTTGTTGAAACAATGCTATAAACCATCCCCCAGTCATCACCATAACTTTTAATGGTGGAATAAACCATCAGAAATGGGGTGGTTTATTATTGTTTTGACCACATTTGTACCAATGAGTAGTGAATTGCTTTTGGCCCACAGTGTCTGGTTCGCGAACCAGAGACCTTCTTCACTGTTTTCAAGTGTTCTGCATTTGTCTCACCTTTGGGGCTTAAGGGCATGCAATCCAACACGGGCCCTTTGGTAATCAAACATGGAAACTCCCCATTTATAGATGATTTTCCTATTGAAACGTCATTAATTATATTGCATATTCTCACATTTTGGGATTTGGGATTTTCAATTGGTTTTCAATTGCCATGTGTGATTGCCAGACGGCAAGCAATTTTGGCCAGCCCCGGGTCCCAAGTTTCAAGAGCTCAGGATATTCAAATTGGCTTCTCCCGTGTTTTGGGCATCGTTACCACTGATACTCGGGCGCCGATGGGAGCCAGCGATCTACCAATGCAAGAGAAGTGACCTCTATTTGGAAGTGGGTCTCATCATCATCCGAGTTTTTGGAAGTGAAACCAGTTCCCCCCATTGCAGGCTTCCCCTTTGAAATCCTGCCAGGGTCTTTTTGGTAGGCATATGTAGGCATGCCGAACATTGTTTAACAAGTGGACCGGTGCTAATTAATTTAGTACATTTTAATACCTAAGGTTCCTTTCAGCTCATTCCGTGATAACCTGTTCTAAGAAAAGGTCGCAAAACATCATTTATAGACAACTGCTATAGGCAACAAGTGTCCAACCCTTTGCAGGAAACCGCTGCAGATCTGGACATAAAACGACTGATTTCATGTAAAGCCTCATCACAAACGCTTGGCTTTTATGTCCCCAAAGCCTCTCAATCCAGATGTTCCCATCCCCATTACAATTCCACTGTGTATTGTCCCATAATAGTCGCCATATGCAATGCCATGTTCATCATAAAGCACCAGTAATATCCATAATAATTGCATATTTGACCGTAGTAGTCCCGTAGTCTTTTAATTGGACAATCCCAATCCTTTGTGTTATATATTCAGATAGTTCAGACAATAATTGATCAACCATCATTACGCCCATGTCACTTACGATACAACCAGCACCGCGTAATGATAGGAATTAATATGTTTACCAACAATCATTGGTAATTACCATTAGTACACCATTACCTAACCTTTCATTTTGAATATATTACGGTTATATAGTTGTATATATTCCCATATCATGAACAAGACCGGATATGATTTAATATGGCCATATTAGATCACAACATGAATCCCATAAGAATATATAAGAATCTCATCTTACCATCCAATATCCATCCAGATTTTTTGTGGCTTCCCCTAGGAGATGGAAGCCACTGAGACACGCAGCGATTTCCCGCACCTGGTGGCTTTGCTCCGTGGCGCCGTGGAGAAGGAAGGGCGAGGGGTGGGGGTTGGGGGATGCTGATGAGTTTAGGTCATGCAATACGGTGTAAAGATCTGTAAAATATTGACTTACTAGATGTAAAGTTGAACTTAGGGACTTTTGAGGAACAGTCGGGAAAATCCGTGAGAATGGAAGTTGTGACAGTGATTGGTGGTTTCTTTTGTGTCACGTTGGGGATGCTACTGTGCCAAGACCGCACCAAAGATCAAGAAAAATGAACTGCGCCAAGGGTGAAATTACCCAACATTCCTACAGAGATTGGACTTATTATTTGATTCCACACTATTAATTACATGTATACCCATTATAGACCACCCATTATATGCCATGATCATCACATTATCCTGGTATATCCTGGTTATTCCAGAACATCTAGCATTATCCATGATCATCCCCTATGTATAATTTTCAACCCATTAGTAACCATGATCATGATCATGTTCACCAATTACTTTACCTGAATAAGGTTGCCCCCCAGTTATAAGATGTTGTAAGTTGGTTTATAAACCCCACTATTTATAGTGCTTATAAATGGTTATATCTACCATAAACCATAGTGACAAACGAACTTAGCCAAGTTAATGGTCATATCACCATAGTTATATTTACCATAAACCAAAGTTAATAAAGATACAAACTAACTTATATAACTCGAACTTATCTATCTAAATCCCATGAAACCCCAGGAAAATTACCATGAAACCTCCCATTTTTGAAGATCTTTGTAGTATCCCATCTCCGACAGGAACTTCTGGCGGCGCAGTTCCTGAAGTTGGCGCGGCGCTTGGGCTATGGCGGGCCCTTGGGGATGCAGGCGCTGCGTTGGGCACAGCGGCAGACGCCCTTGCACTCAAGGCCCGTGGATGGGGCTGGGGATGCTGGGGATGCTGGGGATGCTGGGGATGGGGGACCAAATTTGGAGGGAGGGGATGGGGAAAGATTTAGGATGTTTTCGAGATTCCAGATGGATAGGAACTGGATTTCTTTGAAAATCATGTTTTGGATATCTGGAACCATTATGAATTCCATCCTCATTTCTGGCTAGTTGTATATTATCCGTCCGTTTGGGGGGAACCATTGAGCATCTTCTCTCCAGTCCACTGACCCTCTGGTAATTTAACATAGCTATAGAAAATAGCCCATTTATAGTGGATTTTCCCATGAAAAATGTTGATTTTCCATAGTTATGTTAGTTTACCAGAGGGTAGATACCAGCAACCTGTTCTTCCCTGTGAGGCGCGTGTGGGGATCTGGCGACCTCCGCCAGATGCGGGCCGAGATGCATGATACCATTGAGGTGGGTGGAGTCCATTCGAATCCATTTAAGCAAATCCGATTATACCCTCTGGTAATTTGACATAGCCATTGAAAATCGTCATTTATAGTTGATTTTCCCATAAAAAATTGTGATTTTACATGGTAGGAGGATGTGGAAATATGGTCATTAGCATAGCATTTTCAGAAGTGCACCGCACAGGGTTCCCAGATGTTCCCAGCTGCGCTTGCAGGAGTACTTTGATTCCCACAGCACGGAGGAATTGGCACAAGTCATTGAAGAACTTCACCTGTCATCCAAAGAACAGGCCCGTTTCTGGGAGGAGGGTGACCATTTGCTGGGCACATGTCACAAGGCAGATGGGATACAACAAAACTAGGATTGTTTTGAAAGGTACTGAGGTACTGGAACATTTTGAGGTGCAAATATAGCCCATAGTGCAGGGTGCCCATGACATATGGCATCCCTATGGGTTACAGTTATGAGGTTATGATGCTCATTCATTCAACACAGCCGGCCCTTTTGGAGAAGCAATAGATAAATTCAATAAGTCATCTACCGTTATCTCCCCATGTTTCTTCAGCATCTAAGTTGTCAACAAACATCTTCCAGAAACAGGTTTAGTGGTGGATCTCTTGATGTCCGATGGTTTTACAAACAACTTATGAGTTCATTGATGTTAATCCGAGATACCGCCAGCATATACTGGACCTCAGTTCTATGGATGATTAAAAACATAGTTTCCCTTGAAAGAGGTCCTCAAAATGATAGGGGTTCTCATTTCATCTTAGGTTCGCGCGTGCCTTTCTGGTTAACAAGGTACGCGCTTGCGCGCGAACCCAAAATGAAAAGAGACCCGTTTCATTTTGAAGAGCCGTTTCAATGGAAATTTGCTTATAAACCAACACAGGCCAATATGAACAAATCTCAGGGGGGGCACCATATACATCCATATACTACCTTCTCAGATGGCACTTGATTGATGATTGGTTCTAGGCTTATTGTACCCTTTTTATCCTTTTTTGAATGGGGGCTATCAGAATTCATGAGCTGGAAGCTTGTGATTTTCCAAAGATATCCCAGCATTCGATCCCAAATTCTATCTCATATTCCCCTTTAATTAATTCATATGTATATATATATATGTATATATGTATATGTATATATTTGCCGCTTATGTTTTCTCATGAATAAACTATAGGTTAATTAACCCATTTTTCAGGTGAATGAAGCCATCTTTTCCCATCCCCGGTGACTTCGCCAGGTGACCTTCCTTCGCAAGCTGCTGGTGGCCGGCATGGAACGTGGCGCGCAACAGGTGGCCCTGTACGCCACAGAGGAGCTGTTAGGATTCTGCTGGACCGACCAGGACGCGTTTCGGCGCTGGCCTCGGAGTTGATGGTGGATTTGAGAGGGAGTTTGTTCGGCATCAACAATGGTGATGTTAACCTTCAAAAATGGTGATTTAACCATAAAAAAGTGATGTTAACCATAAAAAAGTGATGATATAACTTTAAAAAATGGTGATGTTAACCTGCAAAAATGATTATTTAGTCATTTGGGAATGGTTTATACCCCCTATAAAAATGGTGATGACTGGGGGATGGTTTATGATTGTTTTAGCCACATCAGAGGGATTTACTGTAAGATATGGGAATTCATGGGAATTTAAGCATGAAAAAATGGGGACGGGGATTGAGTAATCAAAACTGGGGATGTAGCACTCATTGGGGATTTGAATTGGAAAGGTCGTATTGGGGGTTGTCACGTCGGCCCCACGATCATTTTAAAGAACCACCTGAACAAGCCCGATATATTTGAGAATAGGAGGAAGGATTATCAATAAGCCAGACATCCAAAATTGGGACACGATCCATTAAAAGAAAAGTGAGTGAGAATCGACAAAAATAGTTGACTGGTTCGGTTCAATTGTGTTCAGCTTTGAAGCCTGAAAATCGATTGATTCTCACTGGCAATTCTTATTGAGATGGGTTGAAACCACCCACTTGTGTTGGATGCCTTGAATTTGCTGATTGTTCATGAGGCACCGAGGTGAGGAAAAGATAGGAGGTCATTTGTCCAAGAGTTGTTTTCCGTTTCACCACCATTTGGTCCCCCTTTGAAACAGCGTATTTTATGCGATTTTTTGTCTATAGGATCTGCTTCTCAGGAGGTGGAAGGTGCATTCCAACAACTTCGCGACATTGAAGCAGACTTGGCTCCTTAACAGCTGGATAATAGTGACTGTACATGTACATCATGTACCGGGTTTGTTTGGATGTTCTTTCATCATAGATGTGTTGTGTTTTCAATGCGGGTGGAGTGGTGAGCCCCCTATAGTTTTTGTATGTTTTTGTGGGTGGGACTGGGAAGTCATTCGCCACCGGTAGATTGTTTTGGGGTCGGGTTGGACCTGATGGAATGCTGGAGACACACACACACACACAACCAGACTCAGGGACCCCGGAGATTGAGCAAAGCGCTGCTCTTGCCGCGCCTTTTTCATCCTCTTTTCGGCATCCGTTTGGATTCCAACATGTTCCAATTTGCAAATTATACGAATGTTTCAAGGCCAAATGTGGATGATTTCTCCATTTACCCCATGATTTTTACCATGAGTTACCATAATTTTCCACCATGTACCATCATAATTATCAATTACCCCATGATTTTACCATCAGTTAGCTCATCAGTTTACCCCATCATTTCCCCGGCCAAAACGCCCAGCAGCTTCAGGTTCTTGACTTCCCAGAGATCCGCGAGTGCACTGGGAAGCTGGTGAAGCTTGCAGTACCTCGGCTTGGTCGGTTTTCGGGGCGTCGCTGTGCGGTCCAGTCCAGTCACCATTTCTTGGGTTAACTAACATGATTATAATATGGTCCCAAGTTTTATGGCTCTATGGTCTATGAATCATCTATGGATTATATGGATTATATTCATCTATTATATTATAATATGATAATATCGGATATATATCATGGTATACACCCTCCGGTAAACTAACAGTTCGCTATTTAAAAAAAACACCATTTATAATAGGTAAATCAATGGCCATTCAATGGGATATCAATAAAGTCAATGGTATATATAACTTCACTTACTCAACCACCAATGGGTTATAAACCATCAATCAAATGATATGAACCATCAATGGGATATGAACCATCAATAAATGGTGGAGATGAACCATCAATTGGATATATAACATTATATATATATAACTTAACTTACTTAACCATAATGGTAAAAGGTAATTAGATAAATTACGCTCATGCATTTGGGACCATAGAATGGGAGTGTTTAGCATTGCGGGGTGTGTTTTGAATTTTAGTATACTAATTCTACAGGCTTGCTTTTCAGGATGAATGGATGCACATCCAAGGGAAACCGATACATCCCCCCCTGGATGATACATGGGATTATATGGGTGATTTATATTATAAATCGCACATTCTTTGGGATGTACATCCAAGTGTTGGACACATGTAAAAAAAATAAACCCGTGCCAGCAAGCGGAGAAATTTGAGCACCAAGATGCAAATGGAGTCTTGTGATTCGCTTTCTTCAATCCATGTTTGGCTTATGGGTAGGAAATGAAAGGATAGATAAAAACACTCCATCCATTTTCAGGATCTGAGTTCATCAGAAAATAGTGCAAAAACAGAGACACATTTTTTGTCTGGCAAATCACCACATTCCCCAAATCCAATGGCAATTTTAAGCCGGCGAACTTCACCGGCTTCCACAGAAGCCACGCGCCGAAACCAGGTTCAAAGGGGCCTCCTGAAGCCATCTTACCTGGCAGTGGACGCCACCAGCCATGTCTAAGGGCATCTTCGCCACCAGCCATGCCGTGAGAATGACCAGGTCAACCATGATGTGAAACGTGATACAACAGACATCAATAGACTGACCAGATTGAACCAGCTAAAAGTCTACTTATTTGATGGTGTTTATCTAAGGTGGACGGTTAGTGGGCGAATTCCTTGCTAAGAACGGGACAAAATATGTGATCAGCTAAGACCAAGAATGATGTTTTCTTGGGTGGTGAGAGGATCAAAGATCAGTTGGGGTGTAATGTCTCATATGTTGCTAGATGTTGCTGGTATTCGTGCATGTGTTGATTTAGAAGAACTTTCCATGGGCTGTTTTGAATGGGAAAGTCAGGTGTTAGAGTTTCATCATCTTAAAGGAGATTGAAATCACATTTAGCTGTTGGATGAAGGGAAGATGCAGAATCAGGAGGTGTTTTCGAATTTCAAGCCTCCCTTCGCGAGAGTTTGAGCTACATGACTGTACAGTTTGCATGTCCCTGTTTCAAGGGCAGCATTTGGTTCGGGAACACCCCAGCGGAAGCTCCTCACATACCCAGGCAATAACGTAGGACAGAAATCCAAGATTTGCAGATGAACGGTGGCAGACCCTCCCACGACAAATCCTCAGGTGTAGGGGAACCACAGCTTTATCGAAGTTCATTTTTAAGCAAGTATATCGAAGAGATTGTTAGGAATCTTGGCCACAACCAGTGAAAGATCTACGCTAAGATCAGGACATACCACGAGGAGGGCCAACCAAAAGAGTTGAAATGACAGGGGCCATGGCTTGTTTGGAACAGCCTGCAGATGGGTAGTTGTAGTTGTGAATGAGCTTCAGTTATCTCCGCCCACATTAGGCCGTACATTTGAGAGCCCAGTTTCGGGCGGCCGGGCAGATTTGAAGTTGGCAAGGAATGCGTTCAGGAGTTAGACCAGCCATTTCGGATGTCCCGGAAGGTTGATGGTAGCTGTCATCCCTAGCCCTGTGCCACAAGGTCAGAAGATAGTTGTGAGCATAGCATGGGTATTGCACGGTATTGCTAGGTACGTGATGTGAGGATATCTACTGTATTATATATATATATTATATAGTGTTGTTATTTTTATCATTTTTTTATCATTGTTATTGTTGTTCTTATTGTCATTTTTGTCATATATTGTTATTATTGTTCTTCTTATATATATATATTCTTATATACGTGTGAGGCTTGGATGCCAAAAAGATATACAGGCCACCCCGGATGTGCAGCATCTTTAAGGCTGCCATCTTTATATCGAGACGGGTATCTTAAGAAGGTCCACTTAGTGACTGCGCTGCAGACTTATTGCGACCATTTTTCTCCCCTTGGAAATGTCATTGTTTTTTTGCTCCATGAGAATCACACTTGTTGCTGGCAGTGTGCATGGTTGGGCCCCACTTTAGGCTGGAAACTACTCCTCCCCTTGCCGCTGTCCACCAACAGACACATGGATAGCACAGCAAAAGTTGAGAATTTCCTGCGTACAGCGGTTCGCAATGGCATAATGCCAGGAAGTTCCAAAGGATGTATAGAGATTGCTGCCGGTTGGGGGGTCGAACATACAATCTCCATGTATTCAATTGCGATCCTACCCGGATGATCCCATTTCTTTATGCCGCCAACCAGGCTGAAAGTACACAGCTTGCAGCCAAATCCTTTTGACACCCTGCGTCTTCGCTGAGTTGACAACCTCTGAGGCCGCGCACCGGCCGTGCCGCGCACGGGCCAAGCAAGCAGGATACGAGGTGCTGAATCAGCAAGCGCAGGGTGTGTCGAGACAGCAGGACTTTTCTCCCAGAGGACCAGTCGGAACGCAACGTGCCGAGCGCTAGTCCTCAGACAGATTGGGTTTGCCTCACTGGAGAAACAAGAGAGCCGCAGCCGCGGGTCGAATAGGTGTTTTTTTGGGGGGATGTGTTTGACATTGTTTGACGAGATATCATGAAGCTGGAAAGGGTGTCCACCTTTCTCATCTAGTTTGGTGCATGAATTTGCTGATTCGCCAATTATATAAGTACATATTATTATTAAAACACAACATATACACACTGTAGATAGGTTATAAGTTATAATTATAATGGTTGTCCATTTCGTGGCTCTCCCGACCTTGGCAGTTTCCATCGCCCAGGTTGGCCAACACGGCCTGGGCCTTCGCAAAGTTAGAGCTGGAGAGTGCGGCCCAGAGGGGTCGGCGTCATCGTCATCATCACTATGATCAGGTTCATGATTAAATATAAATATATCATAATATATCACTGGTTGGTGGTTTGGAACATGGCTTTTATGACTTTCCTTGTATTGGGAATTATCATCCCAACTGAGTTTCATATTTTCAGAGGGTTTGAAACCACCAGCCAGTTATAAATATATCAGTATGATGATGATCATAATCACTATCATGAATTATCATTAGTGTGATCATATCATGATTATATCCATATCAGCATGATAATCATTATCGTCATTGTGATTATCACTATGCTTCCTGTATCCTGTTTGTCAGCGATCCACCTCCCACCAAGTCATTGCGCCGCAGATCTTCCCCTCTTCCAAGCGATGGGATGCTATGCGCAGAAGAAGATCACCAACTTTACCACCCAAAACTTGGCGTTCCTCGGCAGATTGCTGCCAGGGAGCAGAATTTCGACCCTGAATTTCGTGGAGTAATTTTTTTCTTTGTTGAAATGAAGTATGAAATGAATAATGCACCCTCTGGTAAACAAACATAGCTATTGAAAATGGCCATTTATAGTGAGTTTTCCCATAAAAAAAATTGTGATTTTCCATAGCTATGTTAGTTTACCAGAGGGTAATTGGTGTGTCATCTAACAATGACCTTGAACAAACCCCAGCAAACTTTGAAAAGGAATATGGTTCCCAGCAGCCCAGGAACATGGCTTGGTCCTTGGCGAGACTTGGTCTGGTGAATCGAAGTCTCTTGAGCTCTGTCCAGGAGCCGCGGCGCTGGCACGGCTGGATGGCTCCTCAGAAGTGCATCCTAAGTGACAAGACTGGCCAATCTCTTAGACAGACTTAGAAGGTAAAGGACCGGTCTCATTTTCAAATTCAGTAGCCAATGCAAGTCTTGAGAGAATCTGGGGCGTTTTGGTCACCTTAGTGGCCAACTTCACCAGAAATCTGGTGATTTTCTTTGGGGAATCATCCAACTTGACAAGCTTGGGAGATGCCTGGCCTGTCGTCTGACTACATATGACTACATGGATTTTTGTTGATCAAAACCTGTGGGAGGCAAAATCCGCAGGTTCATGTTGGTAATTGGAACCATCACGTACTTTGTAGAAGAATTACCTAATTACCCTTTCAAATTTTGACTTGTCAAATTGAAATGTTCCTACATACTAAAGATTGGGAACTCCCCTTGCATCTCTAATCCGATGTTTGATGCCATGTGGCATCATATGGCACAGTCAGCCAGGAGCAAGCTATGCGCAAGATGTCGGAGTGCACTGCTTTCGACTTATCCATACTGGTTTGGTCTTTCGATGTGCCCTGGCCCGCACATAGTGGTGGTTAGGCTGCAGTCCATGACATTCTGACGCTCGTTGGCGCTCTGTATTACGGGTACTATGGCTTGATGTTCAGAAGATCAGATGAGGGCTATGAAAATCATTGAAAAACATGGGAAAGTGGTGAGTGATGTGAGTGTGGTGTTGATGATGATTATGATGATCTCTCGTTGTATCACAACGATGGATGGTGATTGGAAGTGGGCAACCCTTCGTGTTGCTTTTTCCGAGCGAGGTGCTGAGTTTGGAGCTGCGGGGGTGCCACAGACCGATTTCAGATTGAGGGGATGGAATTATTTCTTCCTTATATGTGAACATCATGCTTTGCTACTACCATTTTTTGCAGGCCAGACGCCTTCATGGACAGAGCCCTGTACCACTTCACCAAGGTTGGGACTCAAATAGGGAAGGATTAAACATGAAAATATGATGAAATATTGGTTATCTCACATGAATGATTTGTAATAAAGTTATATAACGGTTACAAATGGAAATAGTCGTCAATAGTGCAATAGCCCCCCAGCTGCTTGACCTTCTCCTAGGTTTAGGGTTGAACATGGGACCAAACCCTGAGAATCCAAGTGGTGCAAGGTGTAACATCCAGGGCGCACCAAGGGATTGAGTTGGTGATGCTGGAGGGGAAACCGTTTTCAATGGTTTTCAGAAGGGGAACAGCATAGGTCGCGGTGCACCCATTGAAGAGACAGATGGGGGTAGGTGCGGGATTCGTTTTCACGCCCAAAATCATGCTGGGACGTGTTTTGATCGCATTTTGTGTTGTTCGTTTCTGTCTGCGATTCTTTTGTTGATTTACATTTGGCTGTGTGCTACCCAGCCAGTGCTAAATGATGTTTGCCACTGTTGGTTCCATGCCCTTCTTTACGTTATTATCCACTTATATACATGTCTGGGCTTTATAGTTCCTTTCATGACACACCAATATCTATTATATGTTCGGCTTGGGGGTAGGGTGGTTTCATTTTATATCAATGTGCTGGTTATCATTGTGGTATACTACATGCCTAGCTTGGGATTAGTACAAATCAACCCATTATGCGACCCCATGCGACCCCCTTCTTCAACCAGCCAGTACATACGGATTCCAATAACAAATGCGTTGCATTCCAGTTCCGATCCATGGTAAGCCTTCCATATTTGAACATGGTTTCAACTCCTCATGTCGAAAAATCATAGCATCAAGAAAAAAAGTGAATTTTCCCCAAAAGCTGATATAATATAAATATATATATATATATGTGTATCTGGTTGGTGCTTTGGAACATTTTTTTTGTCCACAATATATGGGATAATCCTTCCCATTGACTAATATTTTCAAGATGGTTAAACCCACCAACCAGATAAATCAGATAATTAAAAATTTTCAATATATATATATAATAATAATTATTAATAATAATAATAATTGGCACCTGCCCAACCATTGGATGATGTCGAACCAAAAAAAAAACCTTTGTTTCATCTAGGAGTTGGAGCTGCAGGGCGATGTCGCTGGGATGACGGTGGGGGAAAATGAAGGTGAAAAATGAGAAAAGATGGGAAAGGATGAGAACAGATGAATGAAGTAATCAAAATTGGAAGGGTGAAAGATGATAAACGATAAGATAAACATGATCCATCAAAATTGGAAGGTTGTTTGCCATGTTTTTAGGCAAACTCATTTTGGGATGGGTCAAAGATAATTGGGCTAATTACCCTATTTTTGGGTAGTTAAATTGGCCAAAAAATGACCAATTGGTGGAATCGAGCAGCCTACGTGGAATGTCAACCCTGGACCCTTAAAGTTCCGATAAAGTCGTCGATGTCGGTGAATGTCGAGAGACATCTTTGAAAAGCAACACATTGACTCATTGATATGATTCCATATAGTCACTCATTGATAGTCACTCATTGACTCATTGATATGATTCCATATTATTGTTGATTTCTAAAGGTAATACCTTCTGACAAGCAATTATGGAAGTGGACACTTCAATAGGGAGTATTGATATCTAAACGCAATGGAGAGTCCCCATTGCCGGATTCGAGCAGAGAGTCAAGATCTCCTCATACTGCTTGGGGTGGAACATGGTGGAGGCAAGGCGGTCTTAAAAAATGAGGGTTAGCTGGAAACTCTGCAGGAGGATGAACACTTAATCTGACCTGCTAGAATCTGCTAGATGAATGAATTTCCATCATTTTCCAAAAACTGTTTGGATAGATTTGCATTTCACTTAACCAGGGTTTGTCACATCAACAGACCTGAGGTTGGCATGTTCTGGTTTGATGTGGCCAATGTTGCTTCCCTTTCAGCGAAGCACTTCCGAAACGGGGAGGCTTTCGCCGGGTCCTCAGACTGGTGGATGGATGAAATTACCCAAGACCCGTCAGAATTGGGGACATGTCATTCACGCGAGATCTTTAGAAAAGAATATATATATATGTATATTATATACACCTATAAGTGTATTTTTTAGATTATACTAGTGTATATATATATATATCTGTGTGTGTGAAATACTGCAGTCCCAAATTATGTTCCATCCCAAATTGACGTGTCATATATGTGTCTTCTTGATTTATAGCATTTCTGGGGCGCCGTCCCTGGAACCAGTAATATAGACTTAGTTTTGGGCCTCAGCAGGTAGCTGCTGGTAGCTGTATGTTGTGGAGCCCAAAAAGCCCCTTCACATGGCCGCAGGAGCAAAAGTTTCGTGAAAGATTGCTGCAACCTGTTGAAGACAGTTCGGGAACTCGGTGGCAGCTCAAACTGGCGGTTATCCATTTTACTTGGTGCCTGGAGAAGCATATAGAAAAATGTACGAAGTGATCAAGGCGGTCATTCAGGTCTATCAGAGCCGTGCTCAGAAAATTGAAGGATTTGTTAATTTCTTCCTGTCCTCCAAAGTCCAGACACACCCATGGTTCGGTGGTGATTTTGATTGGGATATTTGGGGATGATCTAATAGAGATACCCTCTGGCCAGGAGGGTTACCCGGCCTGGTAAACTGTCCCATATCTGATGGGAAAATCACAGTTTTTCATGGGAAAACTCACTATAAATGGTCATTTTCAATAGCTATGTTGACATAACCAGAGGGTTACACCTACCAGCCATTCCCTGATACCTCAATAGTTAGTTGCTCGGATTCCTGCCAAGGTCTGCGCAACCTCGCCTCCCCAGAAACAGATCACCAGCAGTCTTTCGACGCGTTGCTTGCTTAGTGCTGTTCGGAGCAGACAGCTGTGGAAGTAACTCCTCGAAGTACACAACTTGATGATTTTGATTTTGATGCTATTCATTTAGTGAATTTAGTGCCTGTATGTCACATGTAATGTCATTTGAAAAGTCATGACAAGTTTTTATGATGCAGTTTGATGGGATTGCAGCCAAAAGTTGCTTGTGGATTTTGGAGCGTTTGGAGTTGGAGACGGATCGGGGGGAGATGAGAAAATATCGGAGATATCTAATCGAAGATAGTTGCAGAGATATTTTCCTTTGGCATTTGATTCTGTCTTGGGACGCAGCTGACTCACATGCCATGGTCCTATGTTTGGTCCTGTTAAGAATCCAACAGCTGGATCAAAACCATCCATTTGCGAAGGAATTTCAATGATAATTCTCTGGTGATATATGGCTTGAAATATTCCGTTTAACTTAAATCACCATCTGTAGTTTGTAGCCATTTAACCATCATAACTGTCTGGTGTCCCTAGCTTTTGGAACCAAGATGTTTCAACTTTTTGCCGGAGCTGTGAAAAATGCCGCCCCTTTTCCCAGGTGGCAGTCGCTGGTGGATGAGTGGAACATCCCCTATCTTGGTACCTCGTCGAGTCGGCAACTGCTCCCGATTCATCATCTTTCATCAATGGCCATCTCAGGAACTTAATTTGGAGGTACCTAACATATCATATATGATATATCCATATATATATATATAGGGCCGTTGTAAGGTATCCTGAGCCTAATAATTCCCACTTATTTCAACCAGAGCACTTGTTTCGTTACAGAAGCTGGTGAAGAAACGGCGTTTCGCAGGCCCGGCCTACACCAAAACTCTGTTCCAACAGCTGGGTGTGCGCGAGGCAAGGGAGCTTGGAGGATGTGTGGAAGAGCACAGGGTCGCGGTTGTATCATTGGAGGGGGCAGTACCCCAAATCATCCAAAATTAAACCATATAGTATTGGAAGATTTGGAAAATATTCGCGGCATCGCTTGAACCCTTTATCCTGAAAACTGCTAGAAAGATAGAAAAGTAATTTTCAGTGACCACTGTAATTTACCACTGTTATACCACTGTTTGATATTTTTGGTAACCAGCAGTTCACCATCGTTTTTGTTTTAGAAGGAGTTGATCCTTCTCCATGCTCAGGTCCAAGGATCCAAGGAGTTCAACTGCAGCGAGCAGCAAAATGGGATCTGTGCTTTGACTGGGAAGGTACGAATTCAGGTTATGACTAACAGTTTGCCATGGAAAATCACCATGCTATTAATAGGTAAGCCATCTATTTCTATGGGCCATCTATACCATGGCTATGTTAATCATAACCAGAGGGTACCAATTCAGTATCATAGTATCATACCTAGATCCATCTTGTGGCTGAAATAAGGTGCCGTTTCCAATTGTGGCTGAAATTTTGGCCGTCACCTCTGGAAAACGCCGTCATGAAAAATAAACGCGGTGGCTCAACAAAAATGCCGTCAATCAGATCGAGAGTGAACCATGATTTTCCAATCTATGTGTTGGATGCCTTTGAATTTTATTTGAACGGTTGATATGTTTGTGGGCCCAGACTTCAGTGGCCACCATTTCATAGCTGGTCATGACCATGAATGATACATGGGAGAGTAAAACGTGTTCATCCCAAACCTTAAGCCAAGACCCTTCAAAAGTTTGATTTCCAGACATTCAAAACCCATCTAAAACAGAGTACGGGTATTTACGCCGTAATTACACCAATTTACGCCGTAATTACGCCAATTTACGCCGTAACTTGGGAATGTGGTTTTTGGCATTTGTGTACTTTTTTTTACTACAGTACTTTTTCGATTCTTAGTGGCAAGCATCGAAATGAACCAACATCTTTGGCCAACGTGATGTCAGACCCCAACTAATGCATTCCAAGTTGAATTCCAAAAATGCCGTTGGAGGCATGCCGGAGCCAAACAAATTACGCCGTAGTACGGGTAAAGGCTACTTTCTGCTAAGAGTTCCGTCTTCGAGGTTCTAGGTATATGTTTATTATGTGGAGGCTACCCCCATCATAAACCATATGGGAAAAAACAAACATCCGGGATTGACATTACATTTACATTAATATATATCATATCATATTATATATCCATATATTCCCAATCAAAAAAGCCGAGCTACAAATTAAGTTCCCAACATGATAGTTTGGCGATGTTGAACCTCGGTGCCTGGCATATGTCATCATGCCGGTATCCCAGAGTTGTTCCGTTGTCTTTGTTATTTGGGTTTAAGCAAGGTCAAAGATGAAGCAGCAGAACGAACATCTGCACAATCATTTACTAGGGTTGCCTAGTATATTCTGTGCTATATCATATGCAAACAAGATTTTGGAATGACTCTCAAGACTTGAGAGAAGCGGACTCCCAAATGGCAATCAGCAGTTTGGCGGACTCCATGACCAAAACACAAGTCCTTAGGACACTTGGATGGCCATGCCACCCAGAGGGTGCTGTTGATGTCTGCCCATATGATCATTCAGCAGAACATTATGAGATTTATAATTTATATAAGCATGTAATGTCACAGTAATTCGTGAAAAGTGTGTATATGTAAAAAAACACCGGTCAATGATTTATTGATGAATGTTCAATTTTCGGTGACAGTGGTAGCTGTTCAAACTGACGGCTCTATACTTTTCCAGCTGCTGAACGGGTGTCACCATGGCCCTTTCACCAAGCAGACAGAGGTCTGGCAGTTGTGGCAGGGTCACTTGAGGTCATCCCGACACCTGGAAACGATGGGGAAAACGTCAGTAATTTCAGAGTTTACATGAGTTTGCTATGGACAATCACCACGTTTAATAGGATTTCAGAAGTGATTTCATAGGTAAATCGGCGAACTATACCTGGGCCATCTGTAGAAGTTCGCAAACTCTATGAAAATTGCCAGAGGGCATCAGTTCCCAGTTCCAACATGCTCAAAAATCCATCTCCTGGTGGGGCCCTGGTGGGGACCACTATGGTGTCTCACACTTTTTTTCAAACGCCCATCTGGGGCAGACCCTGTTTGGGATGGGTCCGCTGGGATGATAACCAGGCCTGACTTTGCCTCAGCGTATGCCTGGGCCAATGCCGCCCAAGAGACAGGGAACTCAGCGGGAGACTGGGAAGAGACAGGTGACCTAAAGGTGATACCCATGGTTCACAAGGGTTATCGTAACGACATTTTAATAATTTAATATAAATATTATGAAACACCAGTTCCATCCGTATATTGCAATGTATGTTTAAACAAATTGGCAATTCCTTATGTTTAAATGGCTGGGTGGGCCAAGGAAACCTTCCCGGAGGTAGTCTAAAATACAAGTTTTGTATATTAAAAAATCTCTATATTTAGATGTAGTTACCGTATAGTATGATCGTCAATAGTGATTAATCATGGGAAACAATGAAATATAACAGGGATGTATATATATCAACATTCGTATCAACCATCATAGGGTACCTCACCTGATGTACGCATGGGAGCCAAGACATGCCAAGACATGCCAAGACAACTGGGAGGTCCGCTGGAGCAGCCTTTCGCAAAGCTGCGGGACAGGTGGGAAAAGTGGAGCTTTCGCCGGTGGTTTCCGACCCGCCATGGTGATCCCAAGAAAGGAAAAAAACCGGGGGATGGCTCAAGCACCAATCAGCAAATGATTACCTGGTGGTTGGGGTTGGGGTTGGTTGGGGTTGGTTGGGGTTGGTGGTTTCTTCGGAATTTTGAGACATCTGAAGGGGATGACGATAATCTGGTAGACCCAATAATTAGACAAAAAAAATCCCCCAAATCACCCATTTCTATGGGTCGTATAAACAATCCCTAAATGGATAAATGGTAGATCTATGGCATTGTGTGTGCCACAATTTTTGTTTACAGTATGCTATTTGGGATGAAGATCTCAATTTGACTGATCATGAACCAGGTGAAGGCAGCGGTCGACAACCAAGTCGGGGTGCTCGATCTTCGCCAGCTTAAGTTCAACTCAATGATAGGTAGCAGGTTCCTGGGAAGATGCAGTATATGCTCAGGATATTAATAAATGATGACAAACGTATGAAAAAGTATAGTAGGTCCTAGTAGGTAGTATGATGTACATATCTTACACGGTTGAAATTGGGGCCCTACAACATCAATTTGACCATTGATTTTCATGATTTGACATCTTGGATTCTAGGTTGAATTTCATGGCCGTTCCTTTTTGGCCCAACATGTTTTGAAACCCCAAGTCCCATGTTTTTTTAATTTGGAGGACATATCATATCACTGGGGGAACAAACTGGTGATTCTCAGACACAGGTTTGGCCTGGTGGTTTCAGTGCAGGCTGGCAGAGGGTTGACAGCGGGGTTCTGACACGTTTGGCGTTTGGCAGTTGCGACGTTTTGCTTCGCAAACCTTTTTTTTTGGATAGCGGATGTCTTGTTGTTTCATGGTGAAGCTTCATAAAGCTTCATTTTGTTGGATGGTAGTCACATCCCCAGTCTTATTGATGGTGAATCCTTGCATTTTGGATGGTGAAATCCCAATGATTCGTCGCGAACTGCTGATGAGCTCTCCCATTTTTGACGATGAAACCAGGTGAAAATCCCATGGTCAGCCCCCATTTGTTAACGTGAACCCCCACCTTTTCGAGTTCGGAGCTGTCCGGCTCAAGTCTGGGGCAGCCGCCTTAGCCGCCGTTCAACCGGCGCCGCTTTTACACGTGGGGCCGGGCCCAGGGCCCTGAAGAGGGCTGCTGGGATGGGCCAAACGGCATCCAACGCACCGTACTTGCAGACATGTAGCCACCTTGGAGCCTTGGATCTATTTGGATCCGTCAGATTGTCAGGGTCTAATGCCGGATTTGCCCTGCAGGGTTGTCATTTAAATATGAAAAATGATGATGCTATAATGCATGGGCTTCCGGGGGTGTGCTATTTTAAAGACAGATGCATTTGGATCTTATTGTGGATTTCACCGCTGCAAAGAAACCGAATTGTTGGAATTGCCCTTGTTGATCAACCGCTACGCTCAAGACAGCAGCAGTCGGACGTTGATTGCTGCTGTGGCGGTTCAATCCAAAGTGTCGGTACTGTACTGCCAACCCTGGATTCGTAAACAAATCATTGACCTCTTGCGGGTGCCCCCCTAATCAATCAACCACGGTTGATTTGATAGCGGCCGGTTGACATTCTACATGATGAGTTGACACATAGCCGCAGCCATCATAACTGGTCATTGGCCTTCCTATCTCTCAACGCCGGACGCCAAGTCCCACAATGAGCCAAGGAATCTGCGACCCCAACATGAACACCGTCAGAGTGGACTTTCCCATGCGGGAAGACACACCAGGCAGGTGTGTCACGTACAACTCTTGTGAGATGTAGGTTAATGAAATTAATTATGCGTGTTTGTCTGAACATAGGCCACCCCTAAATCCATTGATTAAGCGTATCATGTTGCCTTTCTAATGATATAAGCTATTTTGAGGTATCCTCCATTTTCAGGTGCAGGACTGAACCCCTCACCTCATCAACCCAGCTCCCAGATGATCCCAGCCACCTCAAAACCCACAATGAAATGGAACATCAATATGAAACATATGCAGGTAGTGCCTCCCCAAATTCTCCCCTTGGGGAAGATGAACATGACTCAAAACGATGACGCCTCAGACAAGGAAGATTGGTTCCACATGTCCAGGCCTGATAAAATAGGGACTTGCCACCCTGACCTTTGATGCTGAACCGACCATACCCGGCCCCGGGCCCAACCTTTAATGGCTGGATGGCTCGCCGCATGTGGCATGACTTGAGGTCTTGCTTCCATCGGCGAAAAGCGCGATGCCCAACTCATCCCCACGAGCCGCGTGATGCGGAAAGCATTGGTGGCCAAGCAGAGAGAGGGCTATGTGGATCGAGGTCCCCCGAGTCCTTTTTGGGCCCCTTGTGGCGGAATTTTGACGGTTGAGAATGGGAGTTGAAGAGGTCAAGATACCTTCAAAATATATCAAAATATCTCAAAACACTGGCTAGGAGCTTTTGCTCTCCTGGTGCTTTTTCGTATTCTTTCATGTTCCTCTTGGTTTCTCGTGTGTTTTTGCTCTTGTTATGGCTTTTCCTTTTTCCCCGACCTTGGCACTTTGTTTTTGTGCCCATGTCCTCATAGGACATAAATCATAAAACTGTCAATGATTGATGTGCCTGGCTCTGTAAGTCCAGAAAACACCCAAAATTGATTATGCAGCAACATCCTAAAACCTTTCTGACATTCTACTGTACCTAATTAATCTGGTAAAACCCAATAATCAAGAAGCCATCCCCACTTTAACCAGAAGTGGATAGTATCAAGCATCCCCAATTGGAGGGCTTATTGTTGGGTTCAACGCAGTAGCTATCTGGCGAGAAGTAACTCCCCATCTCCAACCTACTATAATACTATAAGTATGTAACTCTATATGCCTTCCCATCTTATCAACTCCATCAATCTCCATCTACATCCCCACATTTTACTGGTCAAAAATCCCCCGTTACATCCTACTATTACCAATGGTATCCAATGGTTACAACATAAATTAATGATAATTAAGCGTTAAAATCATGTTGAATCATGTGAAGTTATGTTTATATAATCCCAGCCAAAAAGACAGGGGGTCTACCTACCACACAGGCCGCAGCGGCCAGGCATGTTGGCCAAGGCGGAATGGGAACGTCAGCTCCGTGCCAAGCTCGAGCAGCGCGAGCGCGACCGGGCGGAGGCCATGTTGGAGGCGGCGGCGAGTCTGGAGGAAGCGGTGCCCAAGCCGGAGCCGGAGGAGCCGAAGCAGTCGCTGAAGCTTGGCCGAGTTTTTGGGGGATGTCGGTTTAGATGATTTTAAATGGTGATTTTAGTATAGTTTAGTGTAATATACAGTAACTGATATTACCTATTTTTTGGTGGGGATTTTATCGGTTTTCATGGTGATTCTAGTGTGATATTTATGACCAGTTGTTTGTAGATGATGATTCTGCGGCAAAATCGCCAAAAAACCATCCCGATGTAGGCATTGATCATTCATAGCATGGTAATTGTACCAATAAGATGGCTTTTAGACAATGGTTATTGGACTTCCCATGATATTCCCAGATGGTTGGATCATGATTTGACCGACACTATCTATAGCTTCATAGGAGGGAGCTGTGGTCGGAGGCGTCATGTGTTCGTCCCTATTGGCAATTTGTTGACATGCCGATGGTGGGCAAGGGTAGAGAATTGATGGGTAAACGAATGTGAAATGGATGATGGATGAGCAGGCAGAGATCATTTTTTTGAAAATGGTTGTGGGGATGGGAGCAAGACAGCAAGGGAATGGGATGCTATACTTCAAAAAAGCAGGTGAATACAAGGGGGATGCTGGGGGAATATGGTGAATACCAGTACCGGGATGGGATGGGGGGATGGGAGTAAAAGTGATAATCCATTGCCTGAAAATTGAGACGCGGCAGGTCAAGTCTTTGAGGGCTGGAGTCGGCTGGAGAATATGATGTGTGGACTCGTGGACTTCATCATTTTCCATCAAAAAGTTGTTAATATCATGCTATATCCCATGTCACTGATGGAGGGACACAGACCAGCCAGTTCCAGCCATGTTTTTCATCGCCTGCACTCCCCAAGGAATGATGAGCGCCAAAAAGCTTTGGAGGCGATCCAACAGGACCTTTTCGGTGGTCGAATCTGTGACAGGCAGGACATGGCCCGGGGAGATGCACGAGGCACCATGGTGAATCAATACGGTGCAGGGTATGCTATGATGTGCTATGATGAGATGGAATCATATTTTCTTGGGATTTGGGGCTGATGGGCTGGAATGGCTGGAACCAACCTTCCTATTTAGATATTTTGCATCGAAAGTTTCACTCAACATTTTAAGGGCTGGTGAAAATCAAGCAGAGAACCATCAAAGTGTTTTCACCCCAAGGTTGGTTGCTGGTTGCGCCACCCATTCGATAACTGATGGGCAACCGGGATTTAGCCTCCGAAGTCGAAGGGATGCACACCTTAAACTGCAAACAAAAAGAACTTTTTCACCACCAAAAAAGAAGCCCGAGTCCCCGTGATGTCTTGAACATTGACAAAGAAAGAATATCCGAGAAAAATCTGGAACATCGCAGAACGTTTGGGAAAATCAACAAGAATCTACTATGCAGGAGTTAGGAGGGAGCAGTTTGGAGCGATGGGAATTCATATTCCCCATACATTCCCTAAGGGGAGCCAAGCACTTACGATTTGAGTTTCCCAACCACATGATACAGTAGATGTGAACTATATTCCCATTATATCCCAATCTATGGCAAAATATTCATCGAACATCCCATGGAAAATCCCGAAAGACACCCCGGAACAACGTGGAGAAACGTGGACGTTTTGGGGCCTCTACGACCGTCTCGCCCTGCCGCAGGTCCCACATTCCGGTGCTCCCAGAGGAGGAGGAGACCTCCACGGAGGAAGAGCACTGCAGCGTCGCGGAGTCCTCCACGAAGCGGGGCAGTTGCAAAAAGGCGCCTGGAAACTGGGCCCTGGGGACGTCGCAGACCCAAATCTCCCCAGATTTGGTAGGTACCCGGCCTGGTAAACTGTCCCATAACTATGGAAAATCACCATATTCAATGGGTAAATCCACTATACCAATCACCATTTTCAATAGCTATGTTAAATTACCAGAGGGTATGTGGTTTATGATTTATGGATATTTATGAATTCCACGTGGGTGTACGACCTGGGGAAAACTCTAGCAGAAGCAAAGATCATGGCTGGGTGGATTCCGCGTGGGTATTTCAGGGTGGCCCAGGAAGGGGGTACGCAATGCTTTACGCAGTTGCTAAGTGGCAATTTCAGTGCAAGCCACAGAAAACATCTTCACAAAACATGTTCCACACTACAGTGATGCCCCCCAGTGCTTGCAAATAAATAGGGCCCCATCATCCCCTTTAGACATCAATCGGCTTGTGGAAAGCCATGGTAAGCCCAAGAACAAACAAAACCATAGCGTACCCAGTTTAACAAAATCGTAACATTTTATCGGCTTTGCAACCCCGACCAAAAATTGGATTTATCAGTTATAGACATTCAATCAGCAACAACCGTTCCGTTGAAGAGATCAGGGTCGCTCCAACCCATTATAATAGCAAATAAAAGCTTGGCAAGGGAAGGTTCTTGTTGATAATTTTGCACCAAACTGGGCTGTTGGAACAACCCCAACAAATTGTTGGGTTTACCACATGAAGGGAATCAATAGTAAACATGACAAGTTGTTAGATTTATCAATTTTGTTACCTAAACATCTGGGGTTTCCATAAATGGGGGAAGGTTTACGTTTGTTTACACTTGAAAATCCTAGCAGAAAATGGATGATTTATGGGTAGCCCCATGTCAGGAAACGTCCATTTTTCAGCGCCATCCAGGAGCCTGGTACCGTGCCATCCGTCTCCCAGCACTCCACGCAAGCGACGGAGGGGCAGGTGGAGAGCGATGATTCGGATCAGGCGATGGTCAGTAGCTGGGTATGGATGGCTGGCTGGCCATATCTCAAGCATTTTCCAAAGCTGGAGGTTGCGATGATTATGATGATTCTGTTTGTTTGAAGGGATCAGGTCGCTGGCAAACGTGGGATATATCTGGATATATTGGGGAATGATGTCAGTATAGACTTGTGATTTTGTTGTACATGTTCATTGTGAGGGTGGGGTGGGCAGAGTACAAGCGAGATTTCGAAGGTATGATGGTGTGAATAGACCGTTCAATATGGGAATGTCAGCGTCATAGACAAAGATTGCAGGTATGACATGTGTGATATGAACATGTGCATTTCTTCTAGGTTGGGTCCTGATTTGGGATGGCCTCAAGTGGTGGCTGGTTGCGGTTTTACCCCTGATCACTTTGGCCACCTTCCCACCTTTGCAGGGGCGGTTCATCTCAGGTAGCTTTTTGGAGAAGCATGGCTGCAGCCATGTGAATGCCAAGAAGCGAAGATTCCTGCGCTCCACCTACCCTTTGCACCTCGCGGTGCAGGAGGGAAACCCCCGCTTGGTGACTGCCATCCTGGCCCGCGGTGCCAAAAAGGAGCAGAAGAACTCCCTGGGAATGACGGCTGCTGGGATGTGTTGAGATGATTTTTACATATTTTTACAGTGTCTGTATGTGTTTTCCCATGTTTTCCTAGTGGTTAATCCAGCAGAAATGGGGAATCTATGTTGGGAATATATTTTACCTTTATGTGCCAGCCCAAGGCTGAAGATGTGGCCAAGAAATCAAATAAAGATGGGTCTCACCGGCAGGTGCTAGAGGCACTTGGTGTTGAGATGCTCCAGTAATTCAGATGAAAGATCGAGATGTGTCACGTGAGATCCGGAAATTCTGGGCAGACCAGCTTCACCTTTTGCATGCAAACAAGCGAAGAAAAAAGGAACAAGGGACGGGGCATCGCCAGATGCAGTGTGGAAGGGACCTGCGAGAACAAAGCAAAGGAACAACACGCCCTGAAAAAAAAAAACGCCGCCATATTGATTAATTTTCCTCATCTCTGACCTGTGATACCCTTCCTACTGGCCTAGTTCTGGCAGGTGCTGGGCCGTCCCCGTTTGAATCCGACGAGTTTGGGCCTTGATGGGATGGGAAGGCCATGATATGCCATGATCAAACGAGGATTGAACGTTGGCCCCTGGTTCTCTGACATGGGGGGTTGTTATCTTCAACAAACATCCAAGATATCTGAGGAATCTCTCGCCTTTTGTGAGTATGCCTCCGATCAATGAACCTATTTCATCCTATTTGGTCAAGAGATCCAGGATTGACATTCTTGGCCGCACTAGAAAGCTGACGTGATGGTGCCACCAGCCATGATCCAGGCCATTTCAAGGATCGCTCGGGGCACCTGTGAGGATTCGCGTGTGCCCATTTGGGGGGGATGGGAAGCTTCCTGTAGTGCAGTGACATTGGGAAATGGTTGTTCAATGGTAGTTTCAATTTCATGAAATTTCATGGTCGTTTTTGGGTTTTACTTGTAGCAAAATTCTGTCGTGGCGCTTGAGGGCCCCATTTCCTTTGGAGATCTTTGCTGCGGTGAGGCAGTCATGGCGTGAACGATGTGTAGCTGCAGCTGTTTGAGGTCGTCCCATGCATCCCAGGTGCATCCCAAGGCACCTTTCGGGCGCACAAAAAGTTAAGACATGTTAAGACTGATAGAAATCATGACACCTGAGCTGGATCAGATTGAAACCAAATAGATGAGGGGTAAAAGATTGTAGAAGCACATCATAATCACATCCAGCGACGTACCACCCCTTGGCGCTGCTGATCGCAATGTCCTTCCAACAGTTTCTGGACTGGTTCACCCTTCATCCACCTGTCAAAGACAGCCCATACATCAAGGCCGACGGAGGATGGGCCCATTGAACCCCCAAGAGGCCAGGTATCCCACCGCAATGGGACTCAGAAGGCAGTAGCCCAAAATCCATCCAGGCCATCTGAATTGTGGCCAGCTGCCTGCCTGCCAGCTAATGTCCACCCTGGATGAATAAACCCCCAGGCTGTTTAATTGGGTGAGTACCATTTAAGTACATTTAAGTACCAGATTATGACTATTGGGGCAGTACCACCCTAATTGATAAACTAATATAAACTAATATAAACTATATGGTTTATCAATCCGGGGTTGACATTGAAGGCCTTGAAAGATGACTGGCTGGCGGAGAACTCTGAGAGTCGGGAAGAAGATGTCACGCGGCAACAGCTCGAGGCTCGGGGAGATGGGAAACCACTGCAACACCAAGCCACAAACATGGACTGAACCTCAAAAAGAATCGTGGACTGAGAGCAAGTCATAAAATGATACGTCTAGTCTAGTTATGTCTAGTTAACATTTATATACACAACTATATACAACCATCCTCCAGCACCGCTCAGGCGCGCATCGCCGAGGCAGAGAAAGCGGCCGCCTCCGTGGAGGATCCCACGAAGCTCCTGGACCTGGCTGAAGCCTATGGCGTGCTGCCGCTGGGATTGGGGATGACCCAGTCGGGGGTGGCAGTTCTAGGGTGGGAGAGGATGATGGCCGCTGCGAAGAGATGGATGGATGATGGTGAAATATATTGATGTCAAATATATTGCCAAAACGGAATTTTATGACCGTTTTAGTGAGATGTTGCCAACTTCTAGTTTTTTGGGGGATTAAATATACATGATAACATTTGGGACTAGGCGTTTTGAGGGGAACTGTTGGGATATAATGATGGGAGATGAATTGGATCAATGAACGAAATTTTGTAGAGGGGGTCCAAATAGAACGCAGCCAGGAGCCATTGGCCAGATCCTATCTTTGCCTATTGCATCAGCCAGTTGAAAAAGACAGGTCATTGCAGTTTGCAGTGTTGTTTGCAAAGCCCATTCACTGTCGACCCTTTCCACGAAATAATCGGTCTTAGGCACTGGCACCCCCCGACCACCAAATTAATGGAGACTATTGGAGTAATCAGAAGTTAGGACCAAGGTTAGCCTGGTCCTTCACCCTTAGGAATCCCCGAGAGCAGCGATGCTTGGAGACCTGTGAGCTGGTTATGAAGCCGCCTGGCACTGCTGGATGTGTGGCTGGTGCTTACCCTTATGAATGAACCTATAGTTACTATAGTTCAAGTAGCAGTACCTGCAAATCCAACATATATAATCATTATGAACCATTATGACATAATCAACTGAATGTTTAGACAACCAGCAAAAAGAAAGGCACTGGTGGTACTGCCGGAATCGATGTTGATTGGTTCACCCGTGGCCTCCGTAGCCATTTGTAGCCATAAAGTTGTTGTTGGTTTTTTAAAGACAACTCAACCATCCAACACTTGAGCCCAACAACTATCTGATCAAATTTCTTCCTGCAATTTTAAAGCAACGTCGGCCATTCAAAGTGAAGAGATCTCATGTGCTTCATTGATTTTCCATGGTTTCCTACATAAGACATCAAACACCAATTGTTGCCCCAGTTGTCCAATATATTCCCATGATTTGTCCAATTGCTACCTTGTTAAGGATCATTTTCCCATCGTTTTTCAAACATTGTTCAAACAATTTCAATGTGCCCATGATCTCCCAAGGATTTTCCTATGTGTTCCCATCATTTGTTCACCTTTATTTTGTTCATCCATGTTACCCTCTGGTGTCATCAAACGTGGCTCGCTGGAAAATCCCATGAACAAAATGTTTTTTTCCAGCAAGCCACGTTTAATGACAACCGAGGGTAGTTCATGTTTCATTTACTAGTTCGATATATCTACCATAAATCACAGAATTCATCTAGTTGTGTTCACCAACTTTGCTAAGTATAGGGGGATTCTCCTACTAATACCTTCATTTATGGCATTTTTTCCCATATATATTTCTATGATGTTCCTATTAAAGCCTCCATAGTGGATTTTCCAGATGATTTCCCCAGCTATAAGCTTCCATGTATAGTGGATCCCATTCAAAGGTCCATTTTTCATGGAGTTTTCCCAGTTCTCCCAGGTTTGCGCTGCCTTTCCTCAACCGCCGCCGTCAGGGCGATGCCAACCAGCTGCAGGGCCGCTGCCTCTTCCTGCAGAACGACTTCGAGGGCGCGCTGCGCGCGGTGTTGCGGGCGCAGGTGGGGAGGTCACCAAAAATGGGGAACCAATCTACAGCCTGTGGTGAACTATGACATATTGATGTTAATGCTACATGTTTTAATAGATAGGTCAATTATTAAGATATGGTTTTAAGATGTTTTAAGAGTGGTTGACTACACATAATTACTTTGTATAGATGGTTTCCCTGATTCAACAAACAGCGGGGTATAATCAAGAATACTTGAGATATCGTGTCTGCTAAACCAGTACGTCAACTATACATGATTGTTTTCCATAAAGGGGGATCATCCCAATCCAATACATATGTGGTCCCGGTCCATGGTTTTAATTTTCGGTCCCCACCCTGTTTGGGATTAGGATGTCAACAATCATATTTGCGGGATGGATTGCAAACCCACAAGCCGGCATTGGTTTCAAAGGCCACCCTCAGGGCTTTTCCCAAACTGGGTGGATATGGGTGCGCCCAAAAATTGGGGACAACCCCCTTGAGATCCAATGGTTGTTCGCCCAACCGCTGGTTGGGGGCCCGGTGTAGAATCCTCGAATGCTTGGTGTAAAGGGAGTGATCAGGGAACGGCCCCACCAATCCAAAACACCGAACCAAACCACCACCCACTGGCTGATTGGCTGGGGACTATGGGAGCGGAGAGCGTGGCATGAATTGAGCTGTCGGAACTGTTGGAATAAAATGTCAATACAGAACTGCACCAATGAGGATCATAGATATCATAGCGTTCCCTGTGAGTTCCCCTGTGCCCAGGAGTGCTACAAAGATCAGGGCACCAAGGCGCTACGGCGTTCCAACAATGCGGCCCTGCTGCGCTGCTACTGCGCCCTGGAGAACGGGGAGAAGGCCGGGGAACGCTTTAAGGTGGCGCTGACCATGGTTGAAACGAAGGAGGACGCAGGGGGAGGGCTGTTGGAAGGCGCAGATATTTCCGGAGGATTTGGTCGAACATAGCCCCAAAATCCATGGGTTGATCATCGTTTTCCCTATTCCAATTCTAATGTGGCTGATGCACCTTCTTTTGCTCCGGACAAACCCATACGGAGGTGATAAGATTCCAAAAATGTGTGCTGGTGTCAGATGTTTGTCTTCCCGTTGCATACTTGGCATGGAACTTGTGAACAGATTGGGGGTCGCAGGAGGAGGGTGTTTGGTTCATTGGCCGCAGGACGCTTTGAACGTGTATCTCACCGGAAAAGCTGCCCTTGACGGGATCGGCCCCTTGGAGACCTTGTCGGAGGGTCAGAGGTTGGCAGTTGAAGGGGCGCCCCAATATGGCGCATCTGAAAAGGAGTGAAAAGTACTAATCTTCACGTTCACAATTAATCACCTGGTGAAGGCTCTGGCTGAAGTTGCCATCAACTGGACATTTCAGGACATTTCAGGAAGCGGCGCTGCTGACCCGAGGCTACTCCGATCTCATGGAAAACCTCTGGGAGGATCACCTGGATGACAACCCCGAGACGAAGGTGGACCCGTGGAGCCGCCAGCTGCCCTGCCATGTGGTGTTTCATGATGCCGAAATCGCCAGGCTCAGCTGGATGGACAGATGCAGGCCATGAAAGATTTGTCCAAGCAAGTTGGAGCAAAAGAACAAGGTGGGCCCTGGGAAAGATGACTCCTGCAGAAAAGGCAGCAAAATTCCAGTTGTAGTGCATCGCTATTTGTCGTGCCATGTCATGTGGGATTGTCATGGATTTTCAACAATGACGTATTTCTTAATCAGATGCCTTAGGGCCTTAGGGATTTTATTGTGCACTTGGAGCAAGTGGCTGATGAGTTCCAAGAATAACTTGCACAATGACTGGGCTAGCAATGTTGGAACCTCTTGGTGGTGAGGAGGTACTACCACCCCCCCCATGACCCTACACTTGAGTCTTAGGCAGCGGTGAACCAGAAGATGAACTCAAGCTGCTTGGACTTGCAGGTCGATGCAGTCGGATTCCGGGCACGTGGGTGACCAGCGATCAAACCACTCAGATGCTGATGCTGCAATATATAATATCAGTTCAATCTCACAGACTGACTGACCCTCAAATTTTGGAGCACACCAACTGTCCAGGCATTTTGCCCCCTCCCCCAGACCCCTTTGTGTCACCCAGGTTCCCCGAAAATCTTGGAGAAGCACTTGAGGTGGCCAAAAGGCACCAAGGTCTAACGCTGGCGCTGCTGCTGGGGATTCTGCTGTATTTGGCCATTGCCATCTACATCTCCCTATGGGTCTCCCGAGTCATCACCGAGCGACTGGTCAAGAAGACGAGCTGATGCCGTGGCAGCGCCGTGTTTGCGCCAAAACGTTTGCGGATGCACGGGGGGGTTGGAGTGTTTGTGTTGGCACTTTGACCTATTTGCGGCACCAACTGTTCGTAGCATTTGTATTTGTGACTTTATATCATACTATTAATGGCATTGTTATTATCATTGTTATTATCATTGTTATTATCCCATATGATCCCTATTATTATCGTTATTAATTATTGTATAGTATTACTATTATTACTATTATGATTAATTATTTGTTGTTGTTGTTGTTATGATCATTATTGCTATGTTAATTCTCACTATATATTGTTATTACTATTGCGATATATTCTGGCACTCTGTATGCGATTAAACTATTTCCATCCTACACCGGTCCGAGAGATAACCTACAGGTGCAGTTGGAATTTGCACGGCAATCCCATCGATCAGTCCGATGACATTCAAGCATGGCTGATGCATGGACCTTGGGATGAGAAGAGTGATGAGAAGAAACAAGCAGACACAAGCAGTGAAATTCGATCCTACTTTCACTTGATTTTCTTGCTGAAACCTCTTTCATGCTGGGACAACTTCAACCAAACTTTGTCCATTGGCGTTGCCGAAATACCTCGCAAATCTTGAAGGGCTGTCGCTTTTCGCTTAGCTTTTCCTAAAGGACTGCATCCTACTTTAAGTAATGAGAAGATCCCATACCGATCATGAAAAGCTAGGTTTGGAACCGTGGTATCACCAAGGCCAGAGGAGGATGTGGCTGATGTGGTTGTCATCGCTGTGCAGGACGGGTTGATTTAAGTGAAAGTTTAGGGGTACACGCCTCTCTTCATCTGACAGCTTTGGAAAACGGTCCAATTGTAGATGATTTTACATACATGTTTCATGTATTTGTTAGGTTAATAAGAAGTATCAGCTGCATTTCCCCTGTCACCGGGCTTACCAGCTAATTTGGATCATGTCTCAGGAGTTGGTCGACCTGGGCCCCAAAACCATGGCGCGGGGGCCTGGATATGGTCGGATATGGCGGGCAGCAGCTTGGATGATGATCTTATGGCTTGTTGTTGATGGATGGATCAAAATTTGCACTAGTAACTAATGGTAAGCAAATAAAGGCATGGCACCTTTAAGGCCAGTCTGAGAAAGTATATGTTGCTTTATTTTGCAAGGGGTACTTGAGGTTAGCCGTGCTTGGGAATTTTCGGATTTGGAAGGGGGCAGCGCAGTTTATGAATTCATAACCGTTTGGGGCCTCACATTCATTTGGGCAAATTGCACATCAAAACTTCACAACCTCACCGTAAATGCTAGTTATTCATGGAAATCATCCCAAGACGTGCTGTTTTTCAGTCCCTATGATTTACATGGCTGAAAAAGTGCCCATGATTCATGGCACTCGAGTTTGGCGCTGGCCTTTGGCTCACAAGGTCGACTGGATGGTCAAATCCATAGTGAATAAGCAGACTTTCCCTCAACTTAGCCTCCCATCATCGGATCGGTTCAAACCAATGGTGCCCTAACGTTTCCCAATGTTCACTATTCTTCCTTCAACTGAGTGGCACAGATCCTATGGCGATTCTGCTTCGTCATGGCCATCGATGTGGCTGGTGCCGCCTTGGTTCTGGAAGTCGGCAGCAACATGTGCCGGGTGGGCTTCGCCCAACAAGACGTTCCCAGCGTGGTGTTCCCATCGCTGGTGGGGCGAATTCGGCATCCAGCGCTGATGCAGGTGGTGCCTAGAGAAAGTTTTGGCAGGTTTTTTACGGGGTGTTTATAATGTTTTTTTGGCCTGTGACTACTGGCAAATGATATTAACCTATTTTTGGACAAGTTGTCATAGTTGATGTTCTTACTTTGAACATGCTATCTTCCTACTGTAATTAAACTTTAAAGATCTTTAAAGTGCCACACACGAATCCATGTCATTTAAAGCCTCAAAACCCAGGGCGGCCAGAACCAGATCTACGTGGGCCACGATGCCCGTGCCCGCCGTGGCATTTTGCATCTGCTGCGGCCCATCGAACGTGGTCTAGTGACGCGCTGGGCTGAGGTCGGCCCAAGAATTGGGAGAATACCTGAGGGATGATGTAGTAAAGCGGTAAACCCAAATATAAATGGAATTGCTATGGAACAATATTGTTATTATGGGATAGATATAGTAAACAGATGTAAACAGTAACAAGCATCATCGCCAATTTAAGGAGCGGGGATGGTGTAATATGATGCCTCAAATGGTTGGTGACTGGGATGGTTACCACTAGTACCGCACAAGGCGGTGGCGGAAGTTTCAAAAATAGGAAACCTATAGGAGCGATTGGTTGTTGTGAATCACGGATGGCAGAGCGAATCCGCTGATGGACACAGGTGGTTGGAGTTGTGTTTTTTGGAATGGTTGCAATGGTTGCAGTGGTCACCTTACCACAACTGCTGGATGTAGTGTGGTGTAGTGCAGTTGTAGTTGTATTTGCAGTTGCATCTGTAGTTGTAGTGTAGTGTAGTGGAGCTGTAGCTGTAATGTAGTGTAATTAGTGTATTTGCAAGTGCAGTTGCAGTTGTCTTCGTGGTGTGGTGTAATAGTGTAGTGTAGTGCACTGTAACGTCGTGTAGTGTTGCGTAGTGTGCTATAGTGTAGTGTCGTCTAGTGTAAGGTAGTGTAGTTGTAGTTGTAGTGTAGTGTAATTAGTGTAGTGTAGTGGAGTTTAGTGTAGTGTAGTGTAGCGTAGGGTAGTATAGTGTTGTGTAGTATGTGTAGTGAAGTGTAGTGGAGTTTAGTGTAGTGTAGTGTAGCGTAGGGTAGTATAGTGTTGTGTAGTATGTGTAGTGAAGTGTAGTGTAGTATGTGTAGTGTAGTGTAGTGTAATGTAGTTGTGGTTGTAGTTGCCGTTGCAGCCGCAGCTGCAGTTGTAGTTGTAGCGTATTGCAATGTAATCAGTGTAGTGTAGTGTTGTGTAATGTAGTGTGGCTGTAGTTGCAGCTGCATTTGTAGTTGAAGTATGCTGCAGTGCAGTTAGTGTAGTGTAAGTGTTGTAATTGTAGTTGTAGTTGTGGCAGTAGTAGTAGTAGTTGTTGTTGTTGTTGTTGTTGTTGTTGTTGTTAGTGCAATTGGTGTAGTGTAGTGTAATCAGTGTAGTGTAGTGCACTTAGTGTAGTGTAATGTAGCGTAGTATATTTGTATTTGTAGTTGTAGCAGTAGCGTAGTGTATTGTAGTGGCAGTTGTTGTTGTAGTTGTAATTGTCTATCTATCTATCGATCTATCTATCTATCCATCTATCTGTTCGTCTGTCTATCTGTCTGCCTGTCTGCAAGCTTGAAAACGCAGCAAATTCTGCGAGACGTCCTAAATTTTTGAACTTGACAACGTCAAAAACGAAGCAATTCTGCGAGACGTCCTCAATTTTTGAACTTGACAACGTCAAAAACGAAGCAATTCTGCGAGACGTCATCAATTTTTGAACTTGACAACGTCAAAAACGAAACAATTCTGCGAGGCCTCCTCAATTTTCGGAGTTGACCACATCAAAAACGAAACAATTCTGCGAGACATCCTTCAAAAATGGAAAGTTGAGTGCAGAGCTGACGGCCTCTTAACAATGCGTTTTGCGATTTTTTCCACTCCGCCTGTCTAAAGTACTGCGCCTGCCACGAAAAAGTGATGCCAGGTCATACGAAGTGCTGCAACCGTCAGGCAAAATCATCTCAGCAAACCTGAAGATCTGATGCTCCAAAATGCAACCCCTCTCAGGAAATCAGCGCCCTGACTTCCTAACATCTCTGTTGAACATGTCTCTTGTACTCTGCCTGCCACGGAAAATGCATCTTTGCAGATCCTCGTCAAATGCCCCACGAGTGCCATCGTTTTTGGAAATGCTAGAAAACCCTCACGTTTTGCTCACTTTTGACAAGGTCCACAATCCCTTGCGCCTGCCACGTGAAACCACATCTGAACGTCCAAAAGCGCTCTGTACCCCACAGTCTTTTCCACTTTTGACTTCGAAATGTGCTTCGCGCCACAGCGGCATACACTTTTTCGACATCTCAACTTCCAAAAGTGGCCGAGCCTGGTGTGCTTTGTACATTTTGACTTCGAAATGTGCTTCGCGCCACAACGGCGTGCACTTTTTCGACGTCTCAACTTCCAAAAGTGGTCCGAACATGTGGTGCTTCTAACATGTTGACTTCGAAATGTGCTTCGCGCCACACCGGCGTGCAATTTTTCATCTCTCATCTGCCCAGCTGGCTCCGCACCCGCCGCTTTAGAGCCTACTTTTCGACCCTCCGGAGCCACAAATCATTGGAAAAACACAGTGCTTCGCGACTTTCCTACTTTTTCGCACGCCTGGATCTTCTGTCTTCGGAGACTTTCTCTTTTTGATCTTCTTTCTTCTTCTCTCACCTTTTTGATCTTATTTCTTCTTCTCTTCTCCCCTCTTTTTGATCTTCTTTCTTCTTCTCTTCTCTTCTCTTCTCTACTCTTCTCTTCTCTTCTCTGACTCTTCCCATCTCTGCTTTTCATCTGTCCACATTGTCGGAAGTTTGACTTCTAAACTTCCTCCGATTAGTGGGTTTAGCACATTGCCCAACTCCGAGTTAAGCTTTGGATGCATAGTTCGGTACTGCAATCTTATGTCTTTAATGGGACAATATAGATACTTTAATTTATATACTAACCGGCTAAAGGTACATGTTTGCAGGGCATCTAAGACGAGCACTGGGGAAACTGGGGGCTCATGGAGGGCGAAAGGCTTCATTTTCACCGGGAAACAATGATGATAGACCAGCAATAGGTCAATCAGGATGGTCCTTGCATTGTAATATGCCCTCCAAAGCATGTTGGGATGGGGGTTCGAAGTCTGCCAGATGGAGCAGATTTGGCATCACATTTTCTACAATGAGCTACGAGTGGTTCCGGAGGAACATCCTGTGCTGCTGTTGGAAGCACCTTTGACCCCACAAGATGATCGGGAGAGGATGGTGCAGATGATGTTTGAGACTTTTGGAGTTCCTTGGTGCTGTCATGTCTACATTTTTGCTGGTTTCATGTGGTATATCCAAACTGCAAAAATCATGTGATCATCCAATTATTATCATGTTTTGAGGTATATCCAAGTTCTTGGTCATTTAATGATGAAAAAATAAGGAAACCAATGGTGAAGATGGGCATCCCAATTTTTGAGAAACACCTATGCCATGCGTCTCCTCATGTCCATACGGGTTTATGTCCTTCAGAGTGATTCAAAAAATGTATAGAATTGAAGGGGATGGGAGGAAAGCAGGACAACCAGCAACCAGGTTCCATCTTTGCACTTGGCCATGCATGCAGTTTTATCCCTTTATGCATCTGGCCGGAAGACTGGAATTGTCTTGGATTGTGGTTTGAACCAGACGCGTGCAGTGCCTGTTTGTGAAGCTAGGTGATGGTTTGAAGCATGTTTTGGTCCTTTCCATCCCAGGTTGCAGGCGTCACTTTTTATGGTTTGGGCTGGTGGTTGGTAGCATTCCCTCGGCAATGAGCGTCCTAGTATTCAACACCACCCATCCCAATTAGCACAGTAGCTTGGGTTACTTGACCTGGCGGAAAACTAGGTGAACCTTGGTTGTGTAGTTTAGTACTTGAAACCTTCAGTTTTCTTTGGCCACAAATGTTTTTTTGTATTTATTTGGTGTTTTTTGGAGAGCATCACCAAAACTCTGCATACAATTATTACATATCTCATAATTATAATTGGGAGTTTAGCTATCCAATTTGTGTAATGTTCGAAGATGATCAATGGAGCCACTAGGAGGGCATTGTCTTATCCCATGCTGTTCAGCGGTTACCACTGGGTGGCCAAGAGCTGAATGAGCACCTGATTCAACTTCTGGCCGGGGTAGCACAGCTTCAACTGGATAAGTTTCTCTTGAGTGGCTTAGACATTTTTTGCAATACATGGATGTCAATGGGATATACCTCAAGCAGCTTCATTTGTGGGGTAGGTATCTAATGTTGGCGCAAAAACCAAGCACGATTTCGGCTGGAAATGATGTTGGTGGTGGTGATGAGGGGGATGGGATGAAGATGGTGATGCTGGGGGTGATGACTCTTAGACAGTTGGTTTCCATAAAACCTCCCGCAGCTTCCAGCGGCAGAGCCAAAGGGTAGAGAATACACACAGAGATTGCGAAGTTTCGGTGGCACATAATATTCAACAGAAGGCACCACAATACAGTATGTTAAAAGAATGCTATATAGATATATAGTATGTCAAAAGAACGCTATAGGCTATCTATATATATATTTATATATATATATATTTAATCATATATATGGGATGGAAGGTTGATCAGAATTTTAGAACACCTTGATCTGTCAAGAACTCTCTCCCAGTTCAAGTGTGGTCAAGAGCAAATTGAAGAAAGGCGCAAAATCAGAAAACAGCTGTTTCCAACATCCCAAAAAATTCTTGAGTTGGCTTCCGCTGAGGAAGAAATGCAGGGCGTACCTTATATTTGAAGCTACTTAGGGTAAAAATAAAGGGTTTCCGGGCAAATGGTCCCAGATACGAAGCCAGTAGGGAGTGCCCGGCAGGCGGACCGCGGCTGGTGCTTCAGACCCCCTGACTTTCCCATTGCGGAGGAGATAAAGGAAACCTTGTGTCACCTGCTATGAACTGATGGGGCTGGAGGTGCCTGGTTGGTGGGAAACATTTTGAGATATCCTGTTATATGCTGTAACTATCTATATATATATAAAAAAATATATACATACGTGTTATATATATATATAATATATATACATACGTGTTATATATATAATATATATATATAATATATATATAATATGTATATATAATATATATAATATATATATAATATATATATATATTATATATATAGAGATGCACATGCATATATCCCAGCAGGTTGGTGATTTCCAATATGCTATTCTTCTTCATGTTCTATCCCCAAAAAATGGGAAGGACGAGCCAAAGTGACCATTTCTTATTTTTTGGGCTGGAACCTGGTGAGAACCTTGACTAATAGTGGATGATAGTGGTTAATACTTGTTAATACTGGTTAATACTGGTTAATACTGGTTAATACTGGTAATATCTCCTACTGAACATCTCCGGCATACATATTATTGCTCTACCTGGCAGCTCTTTGAGAATTCATCACCTCAGCGGACGGATCTGGCACCTAGAAAGGCTGTTGGTGACTATGTGAACCATGGATCTTCGCTCCACCCATACCTACTCACAGCCTCACTGGTTTGTTTGTGGCTTGAAATGATTCATTGTTTTTGCTATGATGATCCCGTTTGACCTACATGCTATGATTGTCATTATTAATTACATTTTATTTTTTATCATTCTCATTGGTTATTGTATATTGGTCATTTTTGCTTATTGTGTATTGGTTGTTATTGGTTATTATCGGTTATTATTGGTTGCTAAGGGCTACTATTGGTCATTATTATTATTTGGGTACTCACCATCCAGTTGATATTGACTTTTATTGATTCCCAGCACCAGCCGCAACGATTGTTGATTCATCTACACTCATTTTTCTCGGTTTATATTCACAATGTTATCCCTGCGATACCCCTTTTTGGATGGTTTTTCAACCATCAGCCAGCGGATATGTTTTCAATGATACTTGAACATTTGGGATCTACCTTCTGGTAATTCAACATAGGTATTGAAAACGGCCATTTACAGTTGATTTATCTATCGAAAATGGAGATTTTGCATAGCTACGTCAGTTTACCAGAGGGTAACATGGTCTATTTTTTTGAGAGAGGATGGGCTTCCCCGCACCCTTGTTGAATCCCCCATCGTGGTTGATACCCCCATTTTCTGCCGGTGCACGGTGCACCATTTTTTCAGATGGGTTGAAACCACCAATCAGCCATTTGTATATCTACATCACTTGAAACCACCATATATGATGTATTTAATATATTTAATCATGTTCTTATAGACGATGGGTTTGCCTGAGAGGGTTATCCCATTCCATCCACTAGCTCAATGGGATAACCCATAATTTTTCAACCCCAACCATCTATAGCCTCTGGCAATCAAACGTGGTAATGGAAAATCCGAAAATCCCTGAACAAGAAGAACATGTTGATGGAAAATCCCACTAAATGATACTATAAATATCTATAAATGGAGGTTTCTGTTAGAATTCATCTTTCAGTGGATTTTCAGTTGCCACGTTGGATTCCACAGGTTGGGTGGCCCTGGACTACCAGCGACAGCTCTTGGAGGAGCTCTCGCAGCCCTACGAGGCCATCTTCGAGCTGCCAGATGGGCACCAGGTGACGCTGGGCCGCGAGAGTTTCCAGGCACCGGAGGCCATGTTCCAACCCAGCCTGTGCGCCTGGGCAGGGTTGAATCCATGGGGGCCATGAGAGGGCCATGTTTTTTGGGAAAATGAGGGGTTTTAAGTTTTAACTATAAGAAATTGACCTTTGGTTTTGGGGAAAATGGGGTTCCAAACCATGAAATTTGGTGGGTATTGTAGTTTTTCTTGTCCTCATCGATTTCAGACAAACCCAGGATATGGGAAAATAATGGATGTTCATATGGGATCATATGAGATTGCTTTCCCAATTATCTGGTAAATTTGATCGTTTTTTGGTAACCAACAGCCAACCGTTCTTATGGGGATTTTATGGGAGAATTGGATGTTCCTGGATATGACTAAGCAACAATTTGATATGGGAGCCAAATCTACCAATGTCCGTTTTGGGATGGGAATATGTTCACGCACGATACGTGGAAATCAAAGCCAGATACGTAGCCAAGTGAAGTGGAAATTTGATTGATTTGTGGCTCCATGGTCGCGCAGTTTTGGAGCCCTGAAAGTACACGTTGACATGAAAAGGGGAGCTTGGTTGAGGTGGGTTGGAGTGCATTGGCATTCATCAGTTGGTGTTTGAATCCATCATGGCTTCAGATGAGGATTTGCGTGAGGAGATGGTGATGGTGTGGCCAAATTCTTGGTAGGGATTGTTCAGTAAATACATGGACAGGCGAGGTTGGGGTGGTTTCACTTATACAAAAAACACCCTTCCACCTCAAAGTCATATCACAGTCATATCAAACACTCTCCCAGAACCCCCGGTTATTTGGGGACACTGATATTCGGAGGAGGAAATTCTATCCATGAAGTTGGAACCTTTGAGGAGGTGAGACCCAGGGAAGCTTGGAACCACCCCATGTTTCGCCCACGCTCTGGTAATTCAACCTGACTCTTTCCAAGAAAAGACATCGAGACATGTTCCCATGAATTATTGGAAACATTCTGAACTTCTCATATATATACTTTGATTTTCCCTTGGTTTCCCATATATTCCGCGTGCCTTTTCCCATGGGTTTTCCCATAGTTTCCCTTGGTCCATGGGAGGAGCTCTTCTCCAACGTGCTGCTGGCTGGCGGCAGCTCGTTGCTTCGGGGTCTTCCGGAGCGCCTGCAGAAGGACTTGGCGGCCATGCTGCCAGAGTCCAGCCGGAACCGGGTGGAAGTGGTGGCACCTGACACGAGGCTGGGTGGATGGGGATGTCATGGGGTAAAATCCTGGAGCTTAAAGGTTTATAGACTATAAATGTCTGTCAAAGAATTATATATGGTTATATTTTAATATATTTTAACCCCCCCATTTCTCTGGTGATGTCATGAGTTACTAGCGGGTGAAGAGATGTTTAAAAGTGACAAATTGGTCATTGAGAGTAGGGGAAAGGGGGCAGTTGGGGAGAAAACGAAAGTACACTCGCAGTTTCGATGGTTCATGCAGTTGGTACCATCTATTTCCGGTGGGGTTCAGGATGGTCGAGTGTTGGTTTTGCCAAAGCAGGGGGTGAACGCCAGATTGTGAAACCACACCCAATGACGTGCCCATTTGGGGTTTGTTGTTAACCATACCACTTCACTATATAGTTTAAGATTTGTTTGCCACAATTTTACCACCTTTGTTCATACCCTATTGATCCATCCCGCTCAACAGTGAGGTCCTACGTGAAAAGATAATGAGTCATGAGTATAGATAAGCTCAATTGCTGGAAAAAAATGTAAGGTTGGACGGAATTTGCAGATTGAAGGAGTCAAACCACTTGAGATCTTTATCGCTGGCGTAGGTGAAAATTATCTGGCTACACCTCTTCATTGCCGATATGATATCACTGGATTCCATAATTTCAGGAAGGGTCGCGCTCGCGATGATTTGGAGGGATTGGTCAAGAGCAGCGTGCTTCCTGCCCGTTGCATGTCTTTGAAAGCTTTGACTCCATGATATCATCCTTCAAATGTGCATGAAAAGCATTCCTTCCTGGAATGCTTGGTGGGGCTAGATCGCTAGACGATCTGGAAGGGGTGACACTCCAAAAGATCACTCATGTCCAAGGCTTGTGGGACACTGCGCAAGGTATGGCATCACATGGCACTACATGGCATCACATGTCGCAAGGGTTGTCCAAATCCTTGTGACATATGGTTCTGACTCATCATCTTCAGTAGTTTCCATGGTGAATTCTGCTGGTGCTCCATCCCAAGCCATGGCTGAGGCAGCACAGCGCTTGGATTGGAGGCTCCATGGTCGCCTCCGTCACCAGATACCTCCAGACTTGGATGACCAAGGAGGAGTTCCAACGCCACGGGTCATCCATGGTGCGGGAGAGGTGCATCTGAGGGGCGAATGCGAATGGAGACTCGGCGCGGCTGCTGTGATCTTTTGCTGTGGCATACTCTACAGAAGAATTAGTTTATATTCGTTTGATAATCTTTGACATTTATCTGATATTATCTGTTGGGTTGGGTGGTTGGGTCAAACTTGGGAGGATTTTTCTTTGGACTTCTGTAAATTTCTGCGCTTCCAACTGCAGCTGCTAATACCTCTTTGCCATTCTCCGGAAATAAGGAGATCTTGGTGCTGGAGGTCCGTTGCCGCAGCCCATGGCAATGTGATCGTCGCAGTGGACGTTTGTTGGTCAACTGCTGCAGGTTGAGCTCGGGATGGCCCCATGGCCAGGTACCTGTGGCTGCTTAAAGGGGCGCATGATGTGATGCTTTGGCTGCCATTGTTGGAAAAGAAGACGGTGAAAGGAGGCAGCCAGATGAATCACGGGGTGGGAATCGCTACCGCGATCTGATTAGATCACCATTAGATCACCCCAATTGCAACCCGGTGCATATCGCGGCACTAAGCCGGTTAAGGTCCTGAACACCAACGGCGATGAGCAACGTGCCTCGTCTCAGTGGATGAGTCAGCTCCCGTTGCAGTTGCTTGTTGGTGCCGGCATACCCTCAAAAAGATGTTGAATGATCATTTTTCCAGGTGACTTAGACTTAGACATTGAATGTACTAGTAAGTGTTGAAGAGTTGAAGTCTGAACTGCAACAGAGTGAACAGAAAAGGACACTTCCTGAAACTGAAAGCTGTACATACGATTCTCCCGACTTTGTTCACCAAATGCGCTGAGGTCAGATGGCCCTCGAAAGCAGGGTGGAGCCAGGAGCACAGAATGTTCATGATGCCCCTTCAGCTTCAGCATCCTTAAGCCGCATGATATCCCGAGCCTTTTGTTGTACTGTTTGAAAACTAGCACTGGTATACTGGTATTGAAAGCTTGCTTCCTTTATTGGACATGTGTCATGTTTGATCTTGTTTTAATATGTCTTAATTAGTTGGAATGATTTGGAGTGGATCAGTGCTCAAAGGGATCCATACTCGACCAAGGCAAGCCTTGTCCAGAGGCCGGTTGATGTTGTGGTGGAACTATGTGGAACTTGTGTAATCTGCTAAACATTGCTAAGCTGCTAAATCCAAAAATATGTTTTCAGTTTTTCTTTGGGGGGGTAAAGTTTATACACATTTTTACACCACCCCTTTTTCAGTCATATTGGGGCTGGATGGTTTATTATACCACCCTTTTCTTGGTCCTATTGGGCCGGGGAAGGGTTTCTCCTTGGTTTTCCCCCGGTGGGATCCTGCGCCAGGTGGTCAATTCATCAAGGTTTGCAGTTTCGGAATGGTTGGATTGGCCACGGGGCCCAGGCTGAGAGGTTGGATCCATGGGATCCCAAACTGGGTTCAGATTCGGCACAGATTGACTGGTAATTGCGGTAGCTTTGCTGTCTGTACGTGAGCAAGTGCATATGATGACTCACAGAACTTCAATATACCAGTACCACTGATCACTGCGCCCCAACCTTCAAGGGCCCATTGAGGCCCTGCTGATCTATGTGCAGCCATGGGTAGCTGTCAGCCTTCGACAACTTCGTATCGACAGGGTGAAGACAGGCAGTGGCCCGCTTTGAAGGGAATTTGAGCTGTCACATATGGAATACTTATATATATATAACTTATATAATGTTGGAAAGCCAACAACAAACCCATTTGGGGATTGTTTATAGCATGCGTTGATGGTGATTTTGGGGATGGTTTATTTTTGGGCTTCCCACATTATTACCATTGCCCTATGCAACCAACGTAGACCCTGGCGCAAGTGTTGGGGTAATAAGACTACATACGTTCCTCTAAAATTGGCCCCTGGTTCTGAATCCATTTTCCCTCCGGTAACTATGGCAATGTAAAGTCCTCCATTTATACACAATCATTCATAGACTAGACGATTTCCCCACTTAAACCGTAAACGTTCAGTTGTAAGGAGTTTTCAATTGCCAAGTTTGATTAGTGGAGGGTAACCGAGAATGGAACTGATTGTGCACATGGTTTACAGCTGCCCGCCGGGAGGTTTGGATGGCATTGGTGGCAACAAGGGTGGCGTTTGTGCAAGGTGCCTTTGATGGTCAGTGGGTAAAGTTTCAACCACTGCTGATTCCTGGTTGGTTGACGTCGCCTTGGATTGGCACAGGGACAAATATTGACAAAGTACAGAAGCTAAGATTTTCCCAGATCATGCAGTAAGAGTTTTGGGATCAAGGTCTTCCCCATCCATATGCTGCCACATGCTACCACACTCCTGTAAGAATCGCCCCGGGCTTCTCCAAACCGCCAGATGTGCCAGGTTCTTGCTGGGACACATGTCGGCGTATGGCTTAGCCATCAAGAGGGTGGAGGAAATCTGGGCCATGGACCCTTCATTCATGTTACCCTCTGGTAATTTAATGGGAAAATCACAATTTTTAATGGGAAAATCTACTATTAATGGTCATTTTCAATAGCTACGTTAAATTACCAGAGGGTAGCCTTTTTTGGGATTCTTGTGTGGCTCCGCCCTCATTCTATTGGTGGCTGCATCTACTTCTGCAGGTTTGCTTCGTGAACGTGCATTTGGCTTCGGGTCAAAATGTGGTGCTGCCGAAGTTGAGCCACAGCTCCAGCACGGGGGTGGTCGGTGGAGCCAGGCAGTAAGTGAGAGAAGTCAACACTTTGCACAAGCGGTGGCCCTAGAGTCAGACGAAGAGAAGCAGGAAGCAGTCACCTGGCATGCCATTGTAGCACGCGTCGTCAAAGTTAGATAGCTAAGTCAGTCATGATGGCATGGCTGCAGCCTACTGCCTTAGACATTTTGGACATTTTCGGGCCATGGGCAGCTTTCAGGTCTTGACCGATGCCTTTCAAGGTGTCTCTGCCAAGGGGGTTTGAACCTCGGTATCTTGGAGGGGTTGGTGGTTGCGGTGCCTTGGGGTTGTCCATCACCAAGGCGCAGCGGCCCAAGAAGCATAGCTTCGAGCCCCAAGACCCAGAGGGACAGGAGTTGGTCTTGAAACATCGATTTTGTGCGCTGCAAAGTGCTCTTTACTTTGGCGCACGGGTATGGTTTTCAATTGAGAATGTCATGATCTGTCATGTATTTCTTGCCTTTACTTACCAAACAGGTCCCATTTCTGCCCCACCCTCCAGCCACCTGCCTTTAGCAGTCTTTGCTTCACACCGCAAAGTCCTGCAGGCGCTCATCCATCTATCACATCGCTGCGTATGGGCCCCATAGTTCATTGGGGGTGTCGGTCGGCAACACCATATTTATGGTAATGAACCTCCATTTCGCAGCTAGTTAGCTAGTTATTTTGATATGAACAGAAGAGTGCCAGGGCTGTGACCCACAACCACATATATATATATCTCTTATATATATACAATTTTATACACACACACATATCACATTTTTATATAATTACATATTTATATGTATAAGATTCTTTATATGCATGTATAATAGTTTTCCCCATCAAGATTGGGATTCTTTATGGAAAGGTTTCTTTGATGTTGGGCCCACCCCAGATGCCTTCATAAGCAGCCGAGGCATGAGCTGTGCATCATCGCAGGGGATTTCAACTCGCGGCTGGACTGGGGAATGGTGGCAGGTTCCATCAGGTTTCCTGCCATGCGGAACCCCCAAGATAGCCAAGTTGGTGCAAATAGCAGCTAGAACTGGGTTTTCTACTGACATCTACTGATATATCTAATCTACCGTTTATGGGGAATAGAAACCAACAAATATCTGTAGGGCACAACAATATGGGCTGCTAGATCTTCCAGCAATTGACTTTGAAACTTTGACTCCATGATGTGTCAAGAGGTGTCAGAAAGCCACCCTAAGGGGGATGGTCCAGATCAACAGTGATCACGTCCAACATCACCCTTGCTATTCCCACGATGGGAACATGATTTAGAAGCTTCTGGGACACACGATTTCGAAACCTGGGGGATACATCCAACATCACCCAACCAACCCCTTTTGAGAAGATCCGCAAAAGATAAAGATCCTCCAGTATATTGTCGGTTTTCTGACTCAACATTGGCATGTCCCATCTCGAAACAGGAGTATGAAAGATGACAAAACCCAAGTTTCATAGCTAAAATGTGCTAAAATGATAGTATAGAAGCATCAGAAGCCGTGTTTTTTTTTTGCCTGGAATGGCAGGATTTGCCCAAAGAGGCCCAGTGGGAAAGTGAGACGCAGGAGGCACGGAGCTCACCGTGGTTATATAATGTGATGGGGGTTTCCTAAAACAGTGGTGCCCCCCCAAAACATCCATTATGAATAGGATTTTCCGTTAAAAACCATCCAGCTATTGGGCATCCCCAGTTGTGGAAACCCCTATGTGATGGTTTTACATCAATAGTGGTGGAAAAAACATGGAAAACACGTAAATATAAGTGATATAACAACTGACGTGACCCCTGCTGGTTGATGATGATTGGCACTTCACGGGGCTACAATGGGGATGATCTAGTGCGAGGGATGTGGTATGCTCCAAGTGGGTATGCCAATCAAAGCCAAAAAAACCCTTGAGGCAGTATTTGTTTAAGATTCTTCCAGCGGAAAATCCATTTGAAAATTGTGAATCTAGAGGGCATCTTCTTGTTGGAGGCACTGAAGAAAATCCACGGTTTGCCGCTGGTTGTCATGGAATTTATCATCAATGATACCACTGGCTGGTAAAAACAAAACATATTTCTATTCCCGGAGATGAGGATCGTCGAAGGTGAATGATTGTCGTAATCTTGTTCCACAATTGGATGAAAAGAACAACATATAACAGAAACATCACGAATGTCGTTGTTTCAATGGTAAACAAATAACAAGATACAAGGATGTTCTTGGTATAAGTGCTGTATTTTTTGCCTCAAGCCCACCCAACTGTACTGGATACTGTAGTAATGTGTTTCATGAAGACGAGGGGCGGATCTTTGAAATCGATCTATCTAGTGAGTTATTCAACATTGTTCAACCATCACTGGGATGATGACGACAATGGCCACAGACAGCAATGTTTTTTTGGGACAGGTTGAAAACCACTAATCAGGTTGCTATCCTTGTGTCATCCTTGTGTCTTTTGCTGCCTGGACCTAATAAAATAATGCATGGCTTCAGGGGATGTATATAAATTGAACATCATGCAGGTAAAAACTTACTGCGACTGAAATTCCTTATGGAGTGTGCTGTTGCTTTTCTGGTTCCTGCAGTTTCTTTGATTCTTCAAGCAAGATGCTTTGTCATCGAACTGACTGCTTGAATGAAAGTTGCTGACTCTGACAATTGCCCAGAACCTGACAGGAGTGGCTACTTCGAGACCAGATCATGCTGGGACAGGTGTGATGGCTTGCATGGACTGTAAGTATAGTAATGAGTCATGATGGGTCAAAGGTGAAGATGTGACATATGTGACAGTGATAGTCATGACAACAACACTCAACAACCAGCTGCTGCAGACTGTGCGGCTCGTAACTGTTTAGTGATTAGTGAGGGCCTGGGTTCCCGGCAGGTGTCAAGCTTGCGAGGTTTTCGAGAAGGCCCAATGGTCGCTGTGGTTTGTTGTAGTAGCCCTGATCCAAATGGTTCATCCTTGGGGATTGCTGATTCTTGATTCCAAATTGCTCACTCTTCAGTAAAGATCATGGCCCTCCGATTAGTGAGCCCAGCAAGCTGTAGGAGTGATCACCTTCGCCCCAACATACAAGTACAAGATTGGCGCTTTCCTTAGCGAGGTCGTACCAGCGACTGTTGTTAGCACAAGACGCTGTAAAAGATTCAGTAATTCGATGTCTACCGAGCGAATGCTTTCAAGTATTTAATTTAGTATCCATTCCGTATTCCTATTTTTGTTCCTGATCCCAAATGGTTTAAACATGTCTTGGGGATGAGCTGATAACTGATACCAGATGTCAACAGCCACTATGAAACAGATAGGCAACTAGTGGGTTGCTGCCTGGACCTAAGGCACCAACATGCTGAACACAAAGCGCGCTCCTGCTTGGCTCGGGCGCTCAGACTTGGATGGCAGGATTTCAGGGGAAGAAAACGTGGTTTCTTAGCACATTCCCAGTGAAAGCCAAGGTTCTGAAAGGTGTCATCAAAAATATCAAGAGCTGATCAAGATCAACTAAGGTCAACCCAGAATTCTCCCAAGCTCTCGGGCATATTGGTGAAAGGAAAAAAACATCATATGAAATCCCTGGGGAAAATTCACCAACGATCTGTGGCCGACAGCACTGAGGTGCGACCGTGTGGTGTTCAAAGTTGACGCTTCCTGTCGAGCCGAGCTGCTGGAGTTTGGGACCCTGGAGCTGTTTGACCAGGTTTTTTCTCGGTGTTGGAACAGGGGAGCTATGTGGGATACAGTACTGTTCATGGCTATATACTGGCCGTTTATGATTCTATAACATTCTATAACTATATACTAGCTGGATACCTTTCATGGGTATATGACTAGAAATTGATGATTACATAATATTACATACTATTTATGATCTATTCATATTTGTTTATGATCTATTTACCAGTAGTACCGCACAAGGCGGTGGCGGAAGTTTCAAAAATAGGAAGCCTATAGGAGAGCTTGGTTCTTGTGAATCAGGGATGGCAGAGCGAAGCCACTGATGGACTGAAAGGTGCTTGATCTCTCTCTCTCTCTCTTTCTCTCTCTTTCTCTCGTTTTCTCTCTATTTCTCTATCTTTCTCTGATTATCTACCTACCTACCTACTGATCTATCTGTCTGTCTATCTAACTATCTGTCTATCTATCTATCTACCTACCTATCTATCTAGCTATTTATCTATCTAGCTATTTATCTAGCTGTCTATCTATCTATTTGTCTATCTGTCTATCTGTCTATCTGTCCATCTATCTATCATTATCTATCTATCTATCTGTCTGTCTGTCTGTCTATCTGTCTATCTGTCTATCTGTCCATCTATCTCTCCATCTATCTGTCTATCTCTCCAACTATCTATCGATAAAACTGTCTCTCTATCTATCTGCCTATCTGTCTATCTGTCTATCTATCTGTCTATGTATCTATCTATCTATTTTTCTACCTTTCTTGGTATCCATCTATCTGTCTATCTGTCGGAAGTTTTTGAACTTGACAACCTCCAAAACGAAGCGATTCTGCGAGACTACTTCAATTTTTGAACTTGACAAAATCAAAAACAAAGCAATTCTGCGAGACTTCCTTGAAAAATGGAAAGTAAAGTGCAGCGCTGACAGCCTCGTACCAATGCGTTTTGCGATTTTTCCACTCCACCTATCTAAAGTACTGCGCCTGCCACGAAAAATTGATGCCAGGTCATGCGAAGTGCTGCACCTGTCACGCAAAATCATCTTAGCAAACCTACAGATCTGATGCTCCAAAATGCAACCCCTCTCAGGAAATCAGCGCCCTGACCTCCTAACATCTCTGATGAACATGTCTTTTGTATTGCGCTTGCCACGCGAAATGCATCTTTGAAGATCCTCTTCAAATGTCCCACGCCTGCCATCGTTTTTGGAAATGCTACAAACCCTCACGTTTTGCTCACTTTGGACAAGGTGCACAATCCCTTGCGCCTGCCACGCGAAACGACATCTGAACCTCCAAAAGTGGCGCGAACATGTGATCTTTTGTACATTTTCACTTCGAAATGTGCTTCGCGCCACAACGGCGTGCACTTTTTCGACATCGCAACTTCCAAAAGTGGTCCGAGCATGGTGTGTTTTGTACATTTTGACTTCGAAATGTGCTTCGCGCCACAACGGCGTGCACTTTTTCGACATCGCAACTTCCAAAAGTGGTCCGAGCATGGTGTGTTTTGTCCATTTTGACTTCGAAATGTGCTTCGCGCCACAACGGCGTGCACTTTTTCGACATCGCAATTTCCAAAAGTGGTCCGAGCATGGTGTGTTTTGTCCTTTTTGACATCGAAATGTGCTTCGCGCCACAACGGCGTGCACTTTTTCGACATCGCAACTTCCAAAAGTGGTCCGAGCATGGTGTTTTGTACATTTTGACTTCGAAATGTGCTTCGCGCCACAACGGCGTGCAATTTTTCATCTCTCATCTGGCCAGCTGGCTCCTTTTCGACCCTCCGGAGCCACAAATCATTGGAAAAACACAGTGTTTCGCGACTTTCCTACCTTTTCGCGCATCTGCATCTTCTTTCTTCTGACTCTTTCTCTTCTCTGATCTTCTCTCTTCTAATCTTTCTCTTCTCTCTGCCTCTGCCCTGCTCTGCTTTTCATCTGTCCATATTGTCGGAAGTTTGACTTCTAAACTTCCTTCGGTGATCTATTTATGACCAGTTTCCAGATTTAAGGGATCCTTCCCTTGCCCAGTTGCCCCGGAGACGTGCCGGTGGTGACAAATCGCCGGGTCTCAGGTATGTGTCCCTTCCGACGCTGAAGCTGACGAGTGTCACGGGCCTCAGGTAAACTAACGGTTTGCTATGGAAAATCATCATTTTTTATAGGTATATAAATATGGTATTTTTTTATCAACTATAAATCAACTATAAATGACCATGTTCAAAAGCTATATACTGCCAGAGGGTAGCATGAGCCATGAACAACATGGCCCTGTTGATGGGTTAATACATTGTAGGGGCTTCTATTCTCTGGTTTCTTGGAGGTTTATAATAGCAACTACTATTTAGAAAACCTATATTCGCAGCAAGCAATACTGTTTTTTTCATGGCCCAAATGAATGATCACCTGCTCCGAACTCATGGGCTCAGCGTTGTGAGATCTGGCTCAGGACCACCATCCAGTCACAGCACTGTTTGAAATCGGCTGGAAAAAAGTGTATTGCTGATACATATCTTGACATCGGCAACTGTTATTTGGGCATTCTTTGCGCAAACCTTCCATGCATCACGGCCACAGTCCGGCTTCATGTCTCAAATCACGTAATTTTGTTCGGTTGTCCATCATCATCTCTGATTCCGTGCGTGACGAAATCCAAGTTTCTAGTTTTATGGCTACGTTATATTGATCATTATTTATCATCATTATTTAATATTATTTACCATTATGATTATTTATCATTATTTATCATTATTAATATTTATCATTATTTATCATTATTTATCATTATTATTATTATTATATATCATTATTTTTCATTATTTATCAATATTGATCATTATTGATCTACATCTGGAAATTGTTACATTGCATGTTGGATCATATGCATGCGTTTATTTGCGAATGTAATCACACATATATAATCATATTGTACCTCTTTGCAGCGGCCAGATGATGCGCATGAACAAGCGTACTCTTTGATCAAATCCTTCCTTGGTAAGGGAGAAGGTTGTTCTGCCGAGCTTGCGACAAAAAACAAGCAGGTGATTTTTGGATATTGTTGGGTTCAAATGACTTTTTAATTTGTGGATTTCTCTCAGCCCATCACCTTTCCTCACCCCACTGTAAGACTACAGTCGACGCTGATGCTTCATCATTTGTGTATATTTGTGTTTTCGATTGAATTTCAGCTGTCGGAAGGTTAATTATCTTGCAAGCCCCGCACGACTTAAACACAACCTGTTCATTTCAAAAAGTTCATACAAAACTCTTGCATATATGTCTATATTTATCCTTGAGTAGTATATCACCATCCTCGTTCCAATTTCCACTAGAGAATGGGAAGCCTTGTGCCCCCATATGAAGTTTATATTTTTCCATTTATGGTGGTGTGCCTTTCGCTTGGTACAAATAGCACCTTATATACTGTAGCCATAGTCCTGTTTTTTTAGTTGACTGTGAATCCATCATCATTTCCGTCCAAATTGGTAGCAAAAGGCTGGACACACTATTTTCTAATTTCTAAATGGTTGGGTATGTGAAGTTCTTTAAAAACTGAATAATCATGTTATAAGAAGATATATGTATGTATATATATAATATAACCCTTCAGAGGACAAGCTATATATTGAAATTCAATACAGGTAGTACCGCACAAGGCGGTGGCGGAAGTTTCACAGACAGGAAACTTATAGGAACGGTGAGTTGTTGTGATGCATGGATGACAGAGCGAACCCACTGATAAACTGAAAGGTGATTGAGGCTCTGGGTCTCTTTCTCCCTCTTTCTCTCTCTATTTCTGTCTCCATCTTGGTGGAAAAAATTATTCATGTAGTACCAAATACCAAATAAGCTTTACATTCAAAGTAGCAAGCTTATATAAAATTTGCATATCCTTATAAATTTGTACTCTATATGACATAAATTCATACTAATACAAGTGCGTCTCACTTGTTATTCACGCATTTTTCCCCTCAATTTATGCACACATTCTTCATTGTTTGCCTGTGGAAGCATACGCGGGCATTCGCCGCTTTCTCAAAGTGCAATGCGCCTGCCAGGAGGTGATCCCGGGTTTGTATGTTGCCGCTACGCTATAAGCGCTCTTGTTCATTTTTGGATTTGCTTGTCTAATTTTCCTTTTTTAAAGCTATGCACACCAATGCTTTGACGAGTTTAAGGGACCTACCTCTTACCAGCTGCATTTTGCTTTTTGTCTCCTGTTGTCACATGACCTAAAATACGGCTCTCTGTATCAGAAGCATTTGCCAATTGACTGTTTGGTGTAGTGGCATCCGGGTGCGAAAGGTGTTAGTTTCAAAGAACAACCCTTGCTTCTTTTGACCGGAACGTGTTGGAAGAAGCTTCAGGAACTCGCTTGAGGTGTGCTTATTTGGATGTTTGTTCGATTTTGCCAAGACATTTTTCGCAATGTTTTGCTCTAATCACGAAAGCTAGCGTCAGCTAGCTGGAGTCTTCTTGCTTTAGCAAGTATTCCGGGGGCTGCTCAAGGACATCACGTGATTTTTCACGTGAAAGGGGGGACCCCCCACCACCACCACCACCACCACCATCATCATCATCATCATCATCATCATCATCGTCATCGTCATCGTCATCGTCATCGTCATCATCATCGTCCTCACCATCGTCCTCGTCCTCGTCATCATCATCATCATCCTCATCGTCCTTGTCCTCGTCCTCGTCATCGTCATCATCATCATCATCATCATCCATCATTCATCATCCATCATCCATCATTCATCATTCATCATTCATCATTCATCATTCATCATTCATCATTCACCATTCATCATTCATCATCATCATCATCAGCATCATCATCATCATCCATCATTCATCATTCATCTTTCATCATTCATCATTCATCATTCACCATTCACCATTCACCATTCATCATTCATCATCATCATCATCATCATCATCGTTATTCAATTACAATTTATCATTATTGGCAATTATTGGCATTAGCACGAAAGCTAGCGTCAGCTCGCTAGAGTCTTCTTGCTTTAGCAAGTATTCCGGGGCTCCCCAAGGACATCATGTGATTTTTCACGCGTAAGGCCCCCCCCCTGCCCCCTTCCCCATATATATCATTGTTACATATCATATATCATATATTATATATCATTGTTGCATCCTCGTTGGGACGAACAATGCCGCGACACGATGATGACACTCCGCAACTCACCTCTTCCCTTCTTTCTCCTACCCTGCTAGCTTTCGTCATCCACCCCCGGCCTCCAGTCCTCAGGCTGCGCATGGGTTGCACGGGGAGCTGGTTGGGTTGAATTTCTTTCAAGCTTTCCGATGCTGGCTGCTGGCAGAATTTATTATAATTTGCTTAATTAGGATTCGACCCTCATCCGAACGACCTTCCTATTTTTTTTATATGTTTTTCTATTTCTCTATATTTATTTATTTATATTTTTATTTGAATATTTAACTATTTATCTCGATCTCTTTTTAATTCTTCCTCTATCTCTTTCTCTCTCTCATGTTCTTTTTATCTATCTTTCTCTTTTTTATTTCCATTTATCTCTAATTCTTCCTTTTCTTTAATTATGTATTATAAATATTAGAAATTAAATATATATTTTTTTTAAATATATTAATTAATATATATATATAATTATAT